AACGGCCACTAGCAGTTCAACCTGAACGCGCACGAAGCGTCTGCCGGGCTCTCAAATGGTGTCGAGGCTAGCGCTTGCGGTAGTGGGTGCTGCTGTCTCAGAGGTGCGCTCTCTCGTACGCTCTCCTTATAGGCGAGGTTTTTCCTGACCTAGACAATAAAAGCATCTGAGACATGTGAATATGTATAAATTACTTCTGCGTGACTGTTTGGCTGTGAAGCAGGCAAAGCAACAACGTCGGCATTGGAAGCCGAGCTAAACAGTACAAACGAATAGGAAAGCTGTTGTGATGCAGATTCCCCGCCCACCAAAGTAGATAGTCGACATTTTTAGATACGTAGTGATGTAGGACAATTTAAGAATTCTCGAATATGCTTGTACAATCGTATATTTAACCAATAACTTATTTTTTTTTTTATTAAGATTCAAGCTTTCTATTCATCTCTCCAGAGGCGTCCCGGTGATTGTGTAGGTGGCGCTAAGTAGTTTTTTCAGTGAACTCGACATTAACGTATTTTCGATTCTTAATCTTCGCTCCTTCAAACACACCAGTCACCAGTGAGCTTCGGTAACAAATAATATTATCAGCTTTGCACGAACGGAACTAAAATAACAATTATAAATATCACTGTCACCCGCTAACAGATAACTATTTTTGCGGCAGCTTCAATTCCCTATTTGATCGCGTTCCCTCTTCATTACATGTTTTAGCCTAGTTATTTAATGAAATCAAACTAGAAGCTGTACTGAATATTCTCTGAATGTGACCCCCCACCTTAGTAAAATCTGAATAAAGTGCTTGTTACGCTGATGGGCATGCGCTTCTGTGATTCAGTGTTAACAACGGACAGCACGAGGCCTTGGCAGTTGATGGCATGTCCAAAAATACCAACGAGATAAGCCATCCTGTGTCTTGTCCACCGTTGTCGAATGCTTTCGGGCACGTCCTAAATCATATGCTCAATTAGTTCCCAACTTGTAACGCCACTCCGCCCTAAGGAAACAAGCCTTTAACAGATATCCATCAATAGCGTGACCGTATTGTGATTCATATCGCTAAAAGCTACCGAATAAACTGGACAACTTTAGTAACTTTTCAGTATGTGCATGCTTTCCGTGCTATCGGTCGCATCGTATCGTATCGTTGATCGATACGATGCATTTATTAGGTATTATATTAGGTATTTATTAGGTAACAGGTATTAATATCATGCGGATCATAGAATACTTCTATGAAATAAATAGGAACATATTGCATTTGTCTGGCAAAGGCGACGTGACAAACTCCGTAACTTTGTAACAGATGGTTTTTGCGCTGTCGGTCCGCCTGCCTCTGTGGAACGACAATGGCCTGCTGGCCAGTTAGTTAAAAGCAGACTAGAGCTGTTGGACATGGCCCGAAGGAGCCTGGTACTATCATAGAAAAACCTAAATAGATAGATAGATAGATAGTTGCACGCTGAATGGCCAATCGTTGAAACAAAAATCTCCAACGTATACACACGCGTAAAGAATAGGTAGTACTACCTGAGTTGTTGTAGGCGTACTTTCCTATTGGTTAAACCGTCTTCGTTATTAGCTAATGTTCGTACTCCGTTGTCCTTGCTAAATCTATCGATTGCAAAGTACATAAAATTTAAACTACGTGGTCGTCGAGTGTACGTTGGAGGATAGATGACAATCTGAACGTCCAATACTTCTTGCAGAAGAAAATTTGCCAACCTTTTTCTTCATACTTCGTACAAAGGTATTATTAAATTGTCCCGTGTGCTCGTCTATGTGACAGCCTTACGTTGCGTTATGGCGCTATGGACATTGTTCTTGTATGTACTCACCACGTTCTCTGCGTAACAAGCGAACTATCCTAACCTCCAAGCGTGTTTGATAATCGAGCTTCTTTGTACGTGACGCGTCGCCACCGTGACCACAGAATAGTGCAAAGCATGTATTATTTACATATGTTGGATATATTATATCAATTTGTAACGCTAAAGGAACGTTCTATTACCATTATTATTGATGAATAAATCGTGCTTCATTGCGTTTATTGTTTGTCCGCGAGAGGATATATGTTATAAACACAGATGACTGTATGCTCAGCGGCTAAATGGCTCTATATAAACACTAAATTTCGATGAACTTCAATAGAGCACGGCCTTCTCGTCGTTGCGTATACGGATACCAAAGCAGTGAGTAGTACCCCAGAGTTCAGAATCTGTTCAGCTTCGAAATTGTTTCAGATAAATTCGTCTGCACGATAAAGAAAGAATAAAGCGAATGATTAAAAGATGAATTTGTTCCAATTGAGCCGTTACGATACGTTATAATGTTCTGTGAAAAAGAAGAAACTGGCAATACTGTTTTCAAAACCATGCCGTAAACATTCATCGTGTGGCCCTGCATATCCGCGCTTCAGATCCGCTTAAGTGTCGCTCGAACGTTAGAAAGAATAGTAGTTCAACAGGGTCTTAATTTATCTTTACCGAACTAAGTGTTTACTCTCGAAGCGTGACATCAATTGAGCTAACTATAGCGAAATCGTAGTAATCATCTGAGTAGCAGGTAATTGAATTAATTTAATTTTTAGTGAAGCAAAATTTTTATGACTATGAACCTTTCACTTTACACTGCTCCAGCTCGAGGCGACCCATTTCTTCGTTATTCTATCAAGATTTGCATTGTCTCTAATTGTAGGATGTTTAGCGACCTGCCTTCGTCATACGGTCGCAGTAACAACGTCCCGAATCATTGCTCATTTCGTCTGCGTTTTTGCCTGCCTTCTGAACACTAAGCTTCCGTCTCCGACAGACGACTGGTCCTTATGTGTTCAAATGACCTCATGGCGTATGTATAAATCACCGTAAATGTAGCCCTTAGATCACGTCAGCTGAATGTAGAAGTCGATGTTTGTTCAGTGAGTGATTTCGACATACTTGAAAAGGGGTATCATTGTATTTCGCCATTTATCTCATTCATAGAATTAATTAGTGCGGTGATTATTTCTATTCTAAACATACTTCTGCTCCAAAGGAATTTTCGAGGCTTTTAGAATTCGCTGCGTGGATTGTTGGGAGTCGACTAACAATATTGCTTAGGTAACGTGAACGATGTGGGTATCACGTATAAGCGTGCTTTGTCCGGAAAATTCTAGTTGCCTCTCAATGGGTTTTCGTAATTTTACCAGGCTTTGTTCGCAGGCGCCTGCTGGCCGTTCGGTAATAGCAGCGCTCAATCTACTTAGTCATCATCATTAACCAATGGTAAGGATTCGTATAGTTACAGGCCAAACAGACTAATTCGTACTAGTAGCATGTCTATTGTAAACAGTACCCTTTCGATTCTCGATTTTGACCAGTGTCGTGTTTGGCAAGAGACAAAAAATATCAGTCCCACAATTGTCATATGTCGGATTGTTCTTACCAATAGCATATAGACCCTTGGCACAGTAACGATGAAATGGCGGGTAAATATTGAAACGTGCCTTCCGTAAATAGTTACTATGTACAGCTGTACTTGATCAGCGTTAGCATTAACGTTGGAAGCAATAATTGTGGTCAGTAAATTTTAGGCCCAGCATGAAATAGGACCAATCCAGAAGCGTCGCTATCATTTATCACTATGCAGTAACGTTCGCCATTGTAGCGGTATTTGAAAGGGAGAGTTGAACAGGAAGGTTATGTATGTATGGGGCAAGATGTTACCATTGGCACCTCTGGGGGGTGATCAGGGCCGGCAAGGATATGTGAACGTTCATCAGCAACTCAGACCATTAGCCCACTCTCACAATTGACTTCTTCAGCCTGACCACGACCGCTTTACTGACATCGTTGAGATTAATTTTGCACTGAAAAAATATATATATATGTACATATATATGGTCATCTTAACAAGCACGCGAACCAAATCTAAATAGATATGTAAGGTAGCTATGTTGGCTTATTATCTATTTTGCGTTCTAATCCGTGGTGGCTCCGTCTTCAAAGATGTGGCAGTCAGCTCTACTATTCAAGGATCGAAGCGGCGGTGTGTCCAACAAGACGAATCAGCCGACGAAAAATATCTTCCCCACAAAAGAGACCACGGCACACAACAACAGGCAGATGCCCCCTTGCTACGTGCAACAAGAGTATACCAGGCGCTAAAGCCGTTGGGCGCAGCTTCCCACAATAAATGGCGTTGACTGTATTCGTGAGCGATCCCCATGCTTGAACAATCACGTCAGTTTCTTTTTGCTATGTCCAGTTTGATGGAGGTTCGCGAACTGGGTCCAACCTACTACCATACTTTCTTTGGCTGTCATCCTGACCTGTGAGGCGTTCTTATAGAGTGAACTATTTCCGGTATCCATGCGAAGTCTGACGCACCACCGTCCGATCTTCAACGTGGCAGTGTTAACGGCTCAACTAGCCAACAAACCTGTGAGCGTTACCTTTCTAGCCCGACCAACGAGACCCATTGGGTCCTTTTGCAGCTTTTGCTGGTCACGTTCTTTTACCCGCCGTTGCAGCACAGCACCGGCCCACATGCCGATTCGACCTTAGTATCAAATGCTTTGCCTATCTATTGTAATAATAGATGGGCACAAAACGATTGGTTCCGCCACCGTTGCCTCTACCCGCGACTCAAGTAATGTAGCTGTTGCGGTCTATTCATCTGGTGAACCCGGTGACCAGGTAGGTGTACAGCCAGCGTACAGGCGGCAGCAGCAGCACCACGGTGCAGCTGACTAGCACGTTGATCATGTTTGCCTGCAGGGCGCTGGTGAGGTGTTGCCTAGTGATGGTCGTTGGTAGTCTCTAATGCTACAGCCTTTGTACGATGCTATGTCGATTTAGAAGTAGAGCCGCCTCTTGTTTTGCTGGTGCCTGCGTCAGTTCTACATAGAACCTTAGAGGACCCAGAGTCGTCCACTGGCTGTCGATGCCTCTTAGCCCAGCAACCGCCAGCGATCGTCGGCGAATCTCTTTTGGCATTTTTCGAGTCTCTCTCGCACGGCTGCCATTGCTGATACTGCTGCTACAAATGCTGAATGTGTGTAAGCGTGTGTATTTCTCTGTAGATGTGTTTCTGTATGTTTCGCGTAGTAATCGTTGAACGAACGCACCCGCTTGCCCGTCTGCCCTGTGGACGACGAACTTTGCTGGCGGTAGGGCGTGGTACCCAACCAGCAGAACGGTTTCCCTTCAGAAGCACCACAGTAGCAATAGCAGCAGGAACAGCAGCGTTGGCACCGTCAGTTCTTGGCTAGCCCATAAGCAACGATTGCTGAGTTAGGCAGACTACGCGATCGTGAGCGTACGAGTGAGTGAGGCTGAGGACCCAATAGGCAACGTTCACCTACCAAACAGCTTTTACACAACTAAAAAGGCCTGCTTCTGGCGGGCGCTGCCTGCAACTCCCATAGCCACGACTTGAATCGGCTCGAGCCGGGCCTACTCTACGATAGGCCAGCTCTCACCAGTCAAAACGACCCCGGCGCCCCCTGACGAAACTGCCAATACCAAACACTCAGACACGCGGTCGGGGATACAGCGACCAAGACCCACTAGACCAGCTCAACAGTGATCTTCAGTGCAACTCTGTGAGGCTTCTTCCGTCGTTGTGAAGTGGTGTCCCATCAATAGTCGTTGTTGTAGTGTTACGGAGAATCGGTTTTTATTGTTCTTCTGAGCGTAAGAGCCAACGAGTGCGAAGTCGACGTGATGTCGGAGACAACGGTGAAGCTCATGCGTGGTGATAAAACCCCTTGGGGATTTCGGCTGGGCGGTGGAAAGGATTTTGGATACCCAATTTGCGTGCAAAGAGTAAGTCAGTCAAAGAAAGTAAGCAGCTATTATTAGGGGGGAAATCGCTATAGTATAGTATACGGACCAGTGAGGTTAAGCGAATGATTAGCTGGTTATCGATGGCCCGAATAAATGGGTCTATTGATGAGAAAGCCGGTTAGTGCTTTATGATTAGTGCTGTTTAAGAGCTATAGCTGGTTCCTAAATAGCGATCACGTGATAGAATCCAGTGTGAAAATCACTTAACCTTAGAAATACACCTTGTGTGCGACAGTACACGGTGTCGAAGTTTCCTATTAATCCACGAATGTGAGAAAACAAGAAAATTTCAAAAAAAAAAATCGCTAGTCAGACAAAACTGTAACCCCATTATATGTCCAGAAAACCGGTCCAACACTACTAGGCCACACAGTTATCGTCGCGATCAGGCCAGACTAAGCTAAGGTCAGCGATGTAGTCGTGTCCCGGCTATATTATCGGCATTGTTTGCCAATTGGTAACAGCTGTAACACAGTCAAACGGACCACATCACGATTAAAGTGACTCCAAAGCAGTACAGGATATTACTTGCGGCACACAGGAATAACGCACTAATATCGTTGCGGTCTGTATGAAAACAGATCAATTTAAGTATTTCCTAAAGCTAGTTCTGATTTTCCGTCTGCTATGGTTCGTACGCGTAGCGTTCAGTTTCGTAAGCATTGGTTAAGCTATTTTGTATAATATATTCCGATTTGGCTAACGTCTAAAAAAACGCGTAAGCGTCTAAATAGCCTAAGAGGATCCTGTATTCGCTATAACCCTATGCAGTATGCACACCTGCTTCAAGGAAAACACTATTCTTGCTTCGGGCAAATTCAGACGGCGGCTTTACTCGATGATTCGATTTTTCACGAGTGACCACTTATGAGATTGCATTAGCACTTAACCAAACGGTGTCTCGGTTTCGTTTTTAATCTGTTCAGCAAATAAACGTGCTGGCACTGGTGTTTACGTGATCGTCTGCGACAGTCGTATGTTTACCTATGTTCAGAAGGTAGCACGGAATCGCTTTCGTGTTTTGTAATGTCCTGCCGACAGAGATATGTTACGCTGAGGTACGGATATGCATAGACATTTCATTCTGTTTATGAAGTACACTGCCGGTGCGTTGCGATGCGTACCCTCGAGTATTATACGCCTGATTCACAATCCTACATGAAATCCTTCGTCGCCGGAACCATCCGGACATAGATAGGGCCATGCGGCGAAGTAAACTGAATCTTCTATTGCATAAATTAGACGTCAGCTACAACAACAACACCAGCAGCAACGATACAGTATGTCGAGGATAAACCAGATTTTACGCTCAATCTTCACTTGCGGCATGTTAGTAGACGCATTCGCGGATCGAAGGGAGAAATGTAGTCTTCATCAACCCTGTATGTAAAAGAATAACGATGTCGATTCACTGATTGAACTCGATTCCAGGAGATTTTAGTTTATAACGGTACATTCTTTAGCTTACTCAACTTTCTTGAAACGTTGAGTTTTGAGTGTGGAACCTGACTTTGATCTGATATAGCCTTCTTGAGTCTGGACCGATCGGTCCAAAGCACTCCGGAAACGTCAGAAGCTGTGACGACAACTGCATCGCTAGACAAACCTCAATAGAGCGAAAGAAAGCTATACAGCTGTTTGCATGAGCACAGAAGGGACGAAACAATAGTTACGAGAAAACCGTGGACACCGACATGGGACCATGGATGAAGCATCGCATCCGCTAGGCTTACATGTGTCTTACGTTTGTTGCTATGCCGGATAAGAAAACACGAGTTCAATTTTCTGCTGACACCTGCCGGAAACAAATGCAGCGGATGGAAAATACGATCTAGTTTGGAACTTCCTTAAGCATACAATGGGCCGATTTCGTTGTTTTTGTTGTTGTTAGTATTAAGTGATTAATTGACGAGTACGTGTTCAGCGTACAGAGATATACGTAGAAACATATACAGGCTGAGCCTCTGTAAATGAATTTGATATGATGATTAAACTGATGAGATCGTAATGAGGGGATATGCTGCATATATATATATATATATGGAAACGCTGTCATAGCTTACGTGTCTTTTTATCGAGAAATACTGGATATTGCCAAAGCAATCGACTGCTGAACCTGTTGGTGTGCGTGATCATAAAGGGCGACGTATCCTGAGTACCTAACGCATGCATCTCTTTGAGTACGTTGGCAAACTGAAAAGCATACTGCAAGGCGTTTCCGCGTTGGTGAAGGAAATTACCAGCAACTAATAATCAATCAAAGTAAGATTAATAAAATTAAGAATAATAAGTAAATTTATAGCTATTTGGATAATTTTCATGCCCATTCGTCAAGGCCAAGTCAAGATAGGTCGCGCAAGAGCTTTCATACTCGTCATGGAAACAAGTCCTTCGTGCTGTACCTCAACAGGAATGATTACGATATGGGTATGCATATAGAACCACAGGGATGATGGGAACAAGTCCTTTGTGTTGTACCTAAACAGGGGTGATTACGATATGGAAATGCACATAGAACTAGAGGAATGGTTACGATATGGATATGCATATAGAACCAAGTCAACATACAGTTGGTCGCAGAGAAGTCGATATCGCAGCTAGTCGATTGGTCAGACAGGCCTATAAAAAAAAATACAGCCACCAACTTTCGCATCACGTAGTCTTGTTGTAGCCGGTCCCATTTGCTGGGACCACAACAATTGTCAGTTTCTCTTGCAATATCCCAAAATACCCAAGTAGAGGACCTCACAGTTACGGAGCGACGCTGGTCCAAAGTAATTATACGTCAATTGTTACCTGTGTTTTAAAGTGATCCTACTCACAATTGTGAAGCACTCATAGTATGAAATATAGAGAAAATGGTTCTCTCTCGTGCTATTACTGTGTTACAGTTGAATACATTAAATCCAGAGTAGTTTTTAGTTTAGAAAACGTCTCCGCAAGTTGTTCGGATTTATTTGTTTCGGTCTGTAATGCTTGATCTGTGGTCAGCACTTGCATGTACAAGAGGCCAGGTCTTGCCAAAGTAGACCAACATATAATAATGTTTTTTGTGATTATGGATAATTTTTGGTACATGGGACCATGTAAATTAAATGAGGAAAAAAAATCACACTATTTTTACTGTACAGTCCAATGTATATCAGCAGCGCGTGGACGGCAAAGGTTGTCAAAAGGGAACAACTGTGAAGATGTGTGTTCAATTTAATTAGGAAAAATGAAATTCGAAAAGGTCCAATAATATATATATCAAAATATGATTATATGTTATATATGAATTTCCTATATTTAGCTATGCTGTGCATCGACCTCTCGTCCATAGCTAACGTCGTACTATTATAAGGTTCTCAATAATCTATCATCTTCAACGCCGTTCAGTCGATACGTCAGTGTTCGGTGGCTATAGACATGTAACGTAGTTGATGAAAAATAATGATGGCACAAAGCGATTACCCTATTTTATATATGAACTGGTGGTAACAACTTAGCCACTATTATTCGAGTCCTATTCCATCATCGCTTATTGCAGCAGACGGGTAAGTACTATCCAGCCTACGAAAATGGTCCCATATTTTATAAATCCGCTTTGAAGAAATTCGTACATTGTGCCAAGGGTACATTGACCAGTAGCGGGTAATCGTAAAATAGCCAAATCGATCTGTGAAATATTTAGACGAGAAGTTACTATTTTTCCGCGGGAGTATATAGTCTAGGAAAAAAAAAAATATCAAGAGTTGGTTTAGATGCTACCGTGCAAACCTTACGGTTGACCATTGTGCTGGTCAGATTTTGAACGGCTTTGAATAGTAGAAAGATCGAATTTTTTTTTCCCGGTATCACGCGTTAGCTCCCGTATGTCTCAAAGGAATAATCGTCGATACAAGGCTGTATCTAAGCAAAAAGATACAGTGTATCTTAAAGATACAGTGTAGGTTACAGTGTAACCTACGACTACGCAGACCAAATGATGCAAATTATTTCCCTGACCGTGGCATCGATCTTTGAAAGTAGCCGACCTTGTCGTTTTGGAGAATCTCTTCTGCCAGCTTCTCTCCGAGATTTCAGTTATAATCATGGTGATGTTTGACTTAGAATTTTAACATGAAACTTTGCACTAGTATTATATAGTCCATCTTCTTTTATATATATTCTGTTCTTTTGTCTGATCGTTTGTATCGTTGTTTTCGGTATGTCAACAGAGAAGTTTTTTGCGTTAAACCTAAACTTAACAGCAGGATGACGACCTTCCTTTTGCCGCCGCCGCTGCTGCTGCACTATTTGGGAATTGTAATTTCAATTGCCATTTCGAGCAAAAATAACCCTATGCAGCTAATCTTTCCTAAACACTCATTTCTATATATTGTAAATATGTACTCCTATAGCCCAATGTGTACACCGTCTGTTGATGGACGAAGATACGTTTGCTTTAACGCATTGCGTTGTTGACAAATACGTCTCGTTTGTAAAGCAAACGCGAAAATACGGCTTCCACATTTAGATAATTAATTAGAGAAACCATGTCGCAAATTTTCGCTGATTTAGTTGGATTCTTCAATCTAAAGGCATATGATTACTCATTACTATGCACATCATTATCTAGGTAGTATATATACGGCTATACATGTACATCAAAATCGAGCATTAAGAAGAAGCTCACAGGAATGAAAGGTCGATGCGTCTGAGGATAGGAACGGTGACAGATACTTTGGTCTGCATGATTGGTCTAGTCTGAATCGTCTTGCAACATTCCACCGATAAGCAATAGGAAATGCCTTTCCCATCATTGACGATGTGATATAGGAGGAGAATAGGACATAGAGAATAATGACAGAACCATCTTGGTCCTATCACTGTCCTTCTCGCATCGATTAAACATAATAACAGCGAGAAATTATTTATCAATTTAATCATTGATGCCGGAAAACAACTGTACTCGGTGTCATTAGTTGTACCTTTATTATTATTACTACAAGATCATTACATTTACATTATTACTACGTTATTTTAGCTCTGAGGGAGAGCCGCTAGGCCTCTCCGTAAAAAAGGTTTTTTAGCCATGAAAACCAGCCAGAACCCAGAAGTTTACCAGATTGACCCACTAGAAGCTGATGCCGGTACATCTGTTTCTCGTGGAAATTGGATTCCCGTCGAAAAATCTCTATTTATAAAGTAGACCGACCCGGTTGGTGTTTGGGTTGTGTGGGGCACTTGTTTGCCCGGTGTGACGGTATGGACTGCGAACCTCAAGAAAAAAACGTGGCATAATTAGAACCTAGCAGGAATAATGAAGAGCCGCATGAGCGGTTATGGACAAGACATGTGAATTGAACATTTGACAGATGGCGACTCGAGAAAAGACCCCTTATCAAACATGGGGTTCAGTGCCTCGAATTAGTTGAATTATGATTAAACCGATTTTATGGTGTTGAATATTGAAATGGCCCATGCTGTGATTTGACAAAGTGAGCCTTGTGTGCTGTAAAAATATGTCGGTCATAATTTTGACTAAATGATCTATAAAGGAGGCACGATTACAACAATTGATAATAAGTTCTCAAAGTTAAGTTCTCTAAAAATGAATCTTAGGTTAAAAAAAAATGCGTTGTAAAAAACGAACTTGTGATGCCACGATGACACTGATAATTCGGAGTACGCGCATCGAACGAATACATATCCAGAAGCTAAAATAAGAGATTTTTGTTAGTGAAGATTATTTAGATAGCTCAAATTCAGGGAACTGTATGCCGAGATATTAGTTTGTAGTGTTTATGTATTACCGACAAGCGCTTCATGCCAATTGAACAGCTGCACTGCCCGAGCTATGTGGGATTGCACAAGATAGCAAAAATCGAACTTCGGGTCTCGCTCATCGAGGTCACTGGTAGAATACATTCAGTTGGCTTCACATAGACGATTGTCGGTCAGCTTCATGAGTATGATTGGTTTTCTCATATCCAATACATTGTGCTTTGTTGTGACCCAATGTAAGCGTTATAACTCCGACGTTTATTGGGATTAGTCGGGAGTAATGACCGCATCACTTTCGATAGCGTTCTCTACTTCCGTTCATTTATTTGTATTACTACTCCTATCGCTACTACCATAACTAGAGCTACTGTTGATTATTATATCCCTGCTGTGGCAAGCAGACATGGAGTTTCTTTGACTTTGCTCAATCTGCCATCGTAATAACACCAATAGCACCTCAAAGTTAAACTTGTATTGACAACTCGATACTTCAATGTGATAACGTGAAGCCACAAAATGACGGGCTGACGGGGTAGTCGTGGTTCATTTTAATGAATACAATTTCACAGGAATTCAAAGATTCTGTTAGGTACCGTATAAATGACCGTTTAAGTTAACACATTGAATACGTTCGCTTCTCTTTTATTTTACTAATGTTGTAATTTGTCCATGTTTTCTATTGAGCCCTTTCCACTAACTGGACAACCCTCTCCCAAATTTAAAAATATGAAAAGCTATATACGGAACGTTTGCGTTATAACTAGTTTTTGTTGTTTTTTCATTCTTATAGTCAAAGCATAGCCAGTTGCTTGGTAAGTTAGGTTCCGCCCGTAAATCGAACTGAAATCGAGCCTGGTTAACGATTAATAAGAACGTTACCTATCGTTAAAATGAAGGGCCAACGATTGCTAGTATGAAGTGTACCGTAAGTGGCACCAAACAGTATTGCCGCTATTGTTAATAAATCGCTTAATTACGTTAAGTAGTTATTCATCTGTAGCCTGTTCCCGTTAGTGGGTAAAGTATTTACATGCCAGCCTTGAGGACATATCGTTGAAGTTTGGACCCCGGCTTTGAATAGACGGTTCGTTTCGTGGTGGGAGCCAGACGTCTGATGGAGCTATGCCTAACGGAGCCTAGCTTTCACTTTGATATTTTCTAAGTATTAGCTGTATGTGTTCCTAGAGGTTGGTTAGCTTTTCTTCCCCGTTATCGGTTGTCGGGGGCCCTCTGTTCCACAAGTGGGGCAAGCAACGCCAGCCCGCGCTGAAAATTACCTGTGACGATTCTAGGCACGTCCTTACAGATAGGTATTCGAATATTGAAATGCTAAGACGCCGCTCAAGCAAACAACTATAGGAGGATAAAGTGTTACGACGACGAGCGAATCAGAGGAGAGAAGGAAACAAGGCTCACGCCCTGTTTGGAGCACAATAGCATCGTATCAGACGAATAATCTCCATCTGATCTGATAAGTTCGTATGACGCCTACTATATTACAGGGCGCATATAGTGTCGCAAAGATCACGAGGCACACTTGAAGCCTATATATCACCTGTTTTGTGAAATCTTCAAGATTTCACTGACAGCGCTCTATGGTGACTTCGGCATACTTCGCCATAGCGAATACGAGGCTAGGTATCGTCTGTTGTACTCACTAGCATTATTTATTTACCTTGATCTTTTGCCACGTCTTTTACTAGCCCTACATTTGATCCATCACATAAAGCTACAGATTGCGGAACCATAAATATACATTAAAAAAACATAATATATAAATTATTTGACACGTACTCGTTCTTCGGTCCGACAGAATATTTACCTCATTTTTCCAGTTAATACTTTAGTAGTCGTCTGAGCGACGCGCTGGAACAGTGCGTCGACCCATTACCGCTAAACCATCGCGTCATGTTATAATACGATCTGACGTCACGCTATGTATGCTTTCAACTTACTTAGAAATCCTTCGAGAATAGGCATGAGAGTGGAGATTTCCGCTCTATTTTGAAACCAATGAAACCAAATTCTTATGATTTTGAACAAAACACAAGAGAAAAGTAGATGTTTGAAGCCGCCATATTGTCTGTAGTCGTTCTAAATGTGATTTATTAGATGAAACGTGGATTAAGTTACGGAAGTTACTTTGGTTACGAATAATTTTTATCCTAAGTAATAAATACATTGTCTACATAACATCACCATTACATCGTGATAAATTGTCTCTTACGCAAATACTATACTGTATGACATATACTAGGCAGGCGTTCTTGTTGGGGTAACTGTAAATAAAAAAAAAAAAATAAGATGAGCAAAAGGCATAAATGCCCTACAGAACTAAATGATACACGTGGTCCTTGTCATTGTTGTGAAATTTAATCACTGTCCGTTATTAAACTAAGCATATATATATATATATATATATTTAGCATTGATATCTCTATAACGGCTAACAATGGCAACGATAGCTGCGGCACGATAGGGGAAATGTTTTGCTGCCTAGTGGGAAACCAAATACTAGCTGGCGGTCTGATTGTTCTCACAGTACGTAAAACCTGATCAAAAAACGATCGAAACGTGAAACTAGTATGGCTGACTGTTAAAGAATCGATAATATTTACCTATTCTAGTACACTGTACAATGGTTTGAGACAACAAAAAAGCTATCGCATCGTGAGGTAAGGAGATATTACACTTACGCGGCCTCAATAACGCAATTACGCGGTATCAATTAAACGTCATAAAGTTAATTAGCTAGTAACTTTTTATTAAGTTACTAGCTAATCAAGTCAAAATGTTGGTGAAATATACGCATGTAAATATTATCCGCTATCTAACGTTAATTATAATGTGTACATTTGGAAGTTTCGGAATCGTTCGATTTAAGGTTACTATAATGTATGCACCGTCGAAACGTTCGTAGTATGCGTACTTTTCTGTTTCTATAGAAATAAAAAGATATATATACATATTATACTTTTTTTGCATTTTTGGAACAAGAAGACACTTTCAGAAGAGATTTAATTTAATAATTTCCTTGTCTTATCACTATTTAATCGAGTTGAATATTTAGAGACAATCTTCGAAATAGGAAGTAAGAGGGTCTAGCTAGTAATCTGTCCTAGTCGTCTTTATTTAATTGATTAACTTTTTTTAATATTAATTAATTAATTAATTTAAAAAGCTAATTAATTAAAAGTAGGTTCCACGTAGATAGGCTGGTCCTAACGAACTACGTGAAGTTTTTAACGCGGGTGTTGAGAAGCTGAACTAAGATCAAATCACCATATATCTTATATATGAGCTTTGCTGACCGCAGTATTGTGAACCGTCTAAGTACGTTGTTTTCAAAAACGAGTGACTCAACCAATGTGTAGGTCCTTGTTGAATCGAGGTTTTGCCCGCGGTAATATTCGTGTTTTTGTCTGAGATCGTCAATTTGCAGCGTTATGAAAGCCTACCCCATAGACTAGAGGAGCTTTCCTCCTATGGCTTAATTTACCATCGAGCAGCATTCTATTTACAATGGGCACAAATTGCCTGTTTCAACCCATTAGTAAAATAATATAGCGTTTACATTCAACCGTACGTCAACGCAAGAAACAATATGCTCTCTGTGGATTCACACATTTTCCTTTTCTTCTAGTGTAATATAGGCCAACGAACATTTAACCGCTAAAAAAGACCAATCTTGTAGATCACGGTACTCTTGAATGCTGCAATCTACTACCTTGAGTACTAGTTTATTGGCAATACGTTATAGAGATTAGGGAGCCTAAAGTGATGTTGGCCAAGCTTTGATGGATGTGGCCTACTTCGTGCAGGTTTACGAATACTCCGAAATTGCCGAATTATTAATAAATGTTATGATAGTGTCCAAACTCCAATGAGAGAGATTTTCGCCTATCAAGACGAAAACAGCGAGAGAAAAGCGTACAGCAGTTATTATTGAAGTATACAAGTTCCGTACTGTAGGACGGGTTCCTCAATGAATTTCTGAATTGAATTAAATTGGTTTAGATACAATTTTTTTTGAAGCCCGTTTCTGCAGTCTTACAGTAACTTCAGGACTTACCATCGACTCTGTTTTAGCTGACAACTATTTACATAGAAAATCTACTACGGTTGTTGATATCGTTTCTTGTAAGCGGAAAGTATAATGGTGATTTTCTATTGTGCACGTTTCAGTCGACGCCTGGCAGTCTCGCCGAACAGGCAGGAATACGCACCGGGGATCAGATCGTCCGCATCTGTGAGCGACCTACTGAGTTAATGAGCCACCAGGATGCGCAGGCCGCGATCCTTAATGCAGGCAACTATCTCGAACTCACTGTCGTAAGGTTAATTTAGAAAAAAAATAATTTACAGCACTTCAATTCTTCACTAGCATAGCGATAGTGCAGTGGGCTGTATTTATGGGCTGCATTTCTAGTCAATGGTTTTATTTGTTGTCTAGCGTTCCACCCGCTCCGATCAGCCAGCGTGTCCTCCTAGCTGGGAGGGTTCTTAATAAAAGTCCTTCATGTTATGCGATTCCAAACAGGTAAACATATGATCCTAGCTTGTCAGTAACGAATAAGTTGTAGCTCGAATTGCGGAAGCAAGACAAAAAAACCTTTACAGTTAGAGAACGATGTTTGTATTCTGTTATGTTTTTTCCCTACGTGCAACAGAACGCTGGCAGCATGTTGTCGATCTTGAATAAACACAACGATTATGAAATCACATAGCTATGCATTATCAAGCCTTGTATTGAGCTCTAGTTGATATGCGAACGGATCGCAAGCAAACTGAAACTGGCCATTGTGTATGGATACAAACCCCATGAATAGGGGAAAAACCTGATTTTCAACAAAACAAACATTGCTGCGCTGAAGTCTAACCGAATCAAGTCTATGGCGTGTAGCTACAAATACTTAAGTGTGGGCTGTTCATAGTTCAGATAAGTTCTATTGTAATACAAGGAAAGATGTCAAGATGTGCGCGCACTAATAACAATAGTAGTAATAATAAATATTGATTTTGTACTTATTTCTAAAAAAATACACGCAGCAAAAATGCCCTGAAACAACCGTTGTTTCGACAAACGAACTTCCAAGGACGTAAAAGATTTTATCTGTGTGATTTTCTTAATTTGGCTTCAGTATCGTGATACTGTAAAAACCAGGTTAAAATACTCTGAAGAAAGATGGAAAATCAAATCTTTTTGTTAGTGGAAAAGCATCTTTCTCCAATTTTTTTTTTGTAGATGCCGCACTCAAATCGGACAACTATTATTCAAAAAATAGCTTCTCGATGTCCCTATGAAATTCAATATATTGCGTGGGTTGCTGTAGCCGTTTATATCAAAAAGATCGTGGTAGGTTCAGGGAAAATAGTAACGCGCCAGGAAATTGAGGGTTATATCGAGCAAGTTTTATTTATAAATAGTTTCTTTAACGTACATATCTAGACTACCGAACAGTAATAACGGCCAAAGTCTATCGACTTTGGCCGTTAACCGGGTCATCATTTATAGAGATTTCTAGATGTATATTAATACCTAAATGTCAGCTAACCGCATAAAAGATAATCCGATAAGGATAGTTGAGTCAGTAGACTTCTCTTTCTTGTCAGCCCTTGGCCCAAGTATCAGTCGAAACTGAATCAAGCCTTTCTTCTAGATTTGGCCAGAACGTACTCTGTGTGCTGAATTAAATGGGTAATTTTCGATTGAACGCCCTTCGTGGGGAACGATGTATCCACGGGATTGAACGGAACTGGAGGGAACTCTCTCTCTGGAGGGAGTTCTACGAATGCTAGCGCAATATCTCCCAATCAAATAAGCAGTTGTACAATTTTTGCGCTTGGCGGGATTACGTTTCGATAGGATTAAGCTTAAGTATCTTGTTTTCATACCCGATGATCAGTTTATTTGACAAATATTATAAATTTTTATGATTTTTAAAAAAGACGACCAGTATTGCAAATACGCCAACTTTGACAAAACATATCCAATTAGAGTTAAGAATTATTATAATATTAATTTAAATTTCGTCCCTGGCAAATCGCTATACTATACGTTCTAAGCTAGTCAGTGTTCAGATTGGTGGCCAAGGATACTCGCGCGTAGTAAGCATTCTATCCGAAAGGCAACAAAAAGACTCAAGTGTTTGTATCGGACGGGTCGGTTAGCGAGCAAGGCATATACTACTTCGAGAGGTACTTAATACATTAGCTGAAATGCTATAACATGATACATTGTTTACGTCTTTTGTCGGAAGCTTGCCTAATACGAGCTAGAAATAAGTCGTCCGCAGGACCAAATGCCAGATACAGTAAAGGCCTATTGTTCTTTAACATTGCTTCTAGCAATCGATGAGTTAGAAATCGACAACTGTTGTGCGCTTGTGTTGCTCAGTACCTTAGCATTGTCTTGAATACACAAGGTGCTCGTAAAGTTGAACTTACGGAAAATTGTAACCTATCATGCAATTCCAACCTATGGTCATGTTTGCAAGAAAATGAAATGTTCACTTGGAATATCTAATGCTACAGAACTACTATCACAGGGTATTGATGACAATGGTACGATCGCCGTCCACTGGTTCGAATACGTGTTTGTTCAATCGAGTCATCACTCTATAATCGTTAACGAATTAAGCCACGCTTTATGAGGTACATTAATTCTATTACGCTTTATACATGTAAACTCTTCAATGTACGGTTGGATCGACATTTTCGAGTACTATACAACACAGCTTCAAATGAGGCAAATTTACTTAATAACTCGAAGTACTTCCATCTGTGTTTGTACTTGTGTATAGACAAACCACGATATCGATGCTCTCAACCTTCTATTTACACGAGAATCGCCTCGACGACAAGTTTTGTTTGTTCTACAGCCTTGTTCCGACAGATCAGTTCCGACAGCAGTTACTCGATTAATGTTCTGCTCCTTGATGCAGTAAAAATTGATTAAATTTAGTTATAAATATGTTATTTTCAATAATTAACTTACTAAATAAAATATTTTCCTAATTAATATAATTTCTACTATAAAATCAACATCTTTTTAATGCTAGAAATAAACTGACTTCAATTGAAATAGGACTTTAAATTTAGAGTGGTAAGGGAACAGAAGGGCTATTATTGTTATACAAATAACAAATAAAATTAACATATTTATATTTCCATTAAACAAGATGAACCCTATAAATCTATTATGAATATTCTAACTGAGGTGATTAAAACATATTCGGAAAAAAGGGCCCTGCCCCCACTTTTTCTATCCACCCTAATGTAATAACAATAGCGTAAGACGTCGAGGCGGTACAACGCAAGAGCACATCATAGAACGGGCTACGCTTCGGAAATAGTAAAAGACCTCGAAAAATATATTGTAAATTTGTTCCGTGCGCTGGAGGAAGAAGAGCCTTTGAGCCATGTCAAAAGCCCTTGTGGAACTATAAGAACTTTTCCCGTACAGCATAAAGTCGACGAACGCCCTAAAAGGAGAAGAAGCTGTATTGGCCAAATAGGTTACCTAAGAGATGAAGGTCACTAAAGTGTCTTAAAAACACTCGGGCAGCAATCGTCCGTTATGGCGTATGCCAGACCTTTCCAGGATCTCAAATTGCCAAAAGGATCTTTATTTTAGCTCCATAATGTTGTATAGTCGTTAAAATAGGCTAGGAATTTGCCTACGTTCAGCCAAGAGCTCTGTTTTTTTCGTGACTAAGAATCTTATGTAGCATGTATGAGACGTAGTATTACTGATTGATTTGATTATTTTGCCCGTATCAGAAAGACTGTTCCAGGCCTTTGATCCAGGGCCGCCAATGTCTTATTGTGTATTCTGGAAAGCATATAAAGCCAGTTCTCTATGGCCTATTGAAATGAAGTGAAACACGCATTACTTCTTACGAGACTCCTTTCAAATATTAGCCAATGCACTAAATTCTATTCTCCCTTATAAATGCAGCGCGATTTCTCATGTAGACGTGAAAATGATGTGAGAAAAGAGAGAAGCTCCGCCGTCGTGCCAACTTAAAATTGTCGTCATATGTTGTTCTTTAGGACAAAAGCATTGCGGAAAAAGATGAAACGACAGGTCAGCAGTGAAGCTGAAACTATGCTAAAAGGAAAAAGGACATCTGACGGAAGCGATATCTGCTGGCGTTAACGTCGATTAATGGTAGCCAGAGGTCGCTCTGGGCTTGTTCTTTCCCATAAGTATCTCCTTATCAATGAAGCCATGTAAGAAGTCTCGCTTTTATAGAGGGCAGCCAAAGGATTACCCAGTGGAGGCGCGATAGGTCTGGAGCCGTCTAGGCCAATGGCCTGTTTAATGAATATTGGTCACTTATCGTTGACTCGCTATCACACTTACTCTTGCTTTGGTTACTCAAGGCCAATATTGTGCCATTCAGCGATCAGGTCTCTGAGAAAACCGAGGCGAAAGTTGAACGTCGCGAAAACAACATGCTCTGACGAGCTAGTAAATGGGAGTTGACTATATCTGTTAAGACTATGGCACGATGTGTTTTTTGCATTTGGATAAATGATGAACTTTTAGCCACTTTCCTAAAGAGTTGAGCTGTTTTCCCCTTTGCGGATACATATCAATGCTAATGAATGCTTGAATAATGCAATTGTATAAAACCAATTGAGATGCTTTGCTCATGCATATCATACTAGGTTCTAACTTTACGCAAACTGGCTCCAGAGGCTGTCATTTCGAGCGTCGTGGCGAGTATATTTTAAAAATATGTAATGACGTTACCCGGTATTTAGTTTTTTTTTAGCCCAGAAATACCGCATTTCATTTTGCTTAAAGGCCCTTCAGATCGTGTATGAGGATATTAGGCTGAAAGATGTATTTACCTGCTAATCGAGAGACACGTTGATGTCTAGGTTTGGATTCGGGCATGGACACACGTTGTTCCATGCTAGGAGTCAGTTGTCCGATAAAATGCCTAACAGCGATACCGGACATGAAGTCCGAAACGTAGAGGCTGGCCCAACTAATAAGAAAGATTATACAAATGCTTGCGAAACCTCATACATGTCTCCTAATTTCATTGCTCATACCAAAAGGGAAGAATTCTCAGAAGACCTTATTCGAACGCTCCGTTCTATATTTATACGCACACACATTCGTTCCTACTGTATAAGCTTGATTCAACTCAACCCAGCGATGAATGCAAACAAGATCCTGTTTACAAGGATCGACAGAATAAAATCGTTTTATCATGGACTTAAATCGGAAAAATGTGCTCACCGAACAGTTGACAGTGACATTGTGAACTACATGGTACCCATGCCGTACCTTCGAAAACCTCTCTGTGCCGTCTTATGGAATGTTGAAAAGTATAGGGTTGTTGTGCGCCTTATGCGCTCACTGAGAACGCCACCGATCAGCTAATGCAGCAACTAAGGATATTCCAAGAGCTAAGCCTATCTATCTGGCATAGATTCTGTCCCATGAGACTTTGCTAATCCGAGGACTCAAGTATGCAGGTCATGCGAGGCATCGCACATTTACCGTGTGGACCGAAAGATAGCTAAAACCCAATTTCAGTTTTCTATCGGAATTGATTTTCTTAGATGAGGTGTATTCCTATAGGATTGAATTCGCGAACAAAGAAAGTTGATGCGCACATCATACGAGAACCTACTTGTTTGCGACCGACCACTTGATGGCGCTACGCCTTTAGAGTCGTGCACTTCTTAAAAGACCAGTTTTGTAAAGCCATAATTTTCCTTGGGGCGTCCGTTCCAAATATTGTTGGGTTTTTGAAAAGCCAAGCCTATAGGACTAAAATTTTTCTCACCGGAGATTCAAACGAGTGTCTCTTGGGAGACACTTCGGCAATTATACCCGATTTACCCGATCTATTTAGAAAAGTTACCACAAATTACGTACTTTGACTAGAATTTGTAAAGGAATTTTAAGGTGAACTCAGTAATGCTAAAAATTCGTTTTTCTAACATGATCTTGGTATTTTGAGCACTCGACGACCTAGTGTTGCTATCGGAGTTTGATTATCTATATATATATATATACACATATATATATACATACACACATATATATATATATATATAGAAAATAATTCGTCACTATTTAAGACTTGCGTATACTGATTTGCAGAGTATTAAAGTCCTATAACACAGCTCTTGAACACGTTGAAATAGATTCGCTTTCTAGAATACAGCGTTATTTTGAAGAGAGTCTTTGTGGTGTACGCATTTTTTTTCTAACAAATCGTCTAAACGAGAAATATAAATAAATTGGCAGTAATTTGGCAGTCTAATTATTATAGTCTGCACCAAAAACTATCAACATGCTGTTAATAGTTTTTGGTGCAACTGCCCGGGCAGAAACACTCTTCACATACAGCATCACTGAAGCCACAGCGGTATGGAACAGCGGTATCGGAGAAGTGGCAGGTGACAGCCAGCTAAAAATCTAGGCCTTCGAACTTGTGCTTAACGGTAGAGCGTTTGCCTCGAACTAAGAAAAGGATAGTTAACGAACTGTTAACGACCTTGCGATAGAGTTGACCCTTGTACAACTTTAGGCCAAAAATAGCGTACGGTAAAACCGTTACAACACAACGCCTGTTTTACTATAAACCAGCTGCCTGTACAAACAGGACTCATACATTACGACTTTAGCATGAAAACATGCTAAAATGTACGTTAAGTGCCAATAATAAATGTAAAAAATAGCTTTATAAGGCGCCACTGAGTGAACTTACGTCAGTTGCCCTTCTCTCTTACCAAGCTGGCCAGTGTGTATTTGCTCATTGTAAATGTGTGTCGTGATCTATTTTCTTGTCACTATGCTGAAAGGCCATGGTAGGACAAGTAGATCTCATGCCGAGAAAGATTTAGCGACACGCCTCTGCGTCACAAGATGTTCGTTTTGAAGCTTAAACTGCCGCTGTTTCAATATCGCGTTTATATGTGATTTTCATGACAGTCCGTGACGCCCATATCGGGAACGTAGATCCTCTGTTTAGCACGGATTTTCGTTTGCTGCTTATTTCTAATCGAACTGTATCGTACGTTTTCGTTTGCTTTTGGCTCCAATTCTCTGACCTCGTCGAGCAGAGGCGGCGCGTTGACGTGGGCTCCAGCAGTTCAACCCGTCGGAGATATCGTACTGGGTTCGGAGGGTCCACTAACGCGAACCTCTCTCGCAGCCCATAAACAGCCGCATGCTCCGATCGGATCAGCTCACAACATTACTGCTAAACCGTTCCAGGTTTGTAACGCTTACTTGAAATAGGCATTAGGTATGCTGATAATAGATAACAGATACGTCCGTGAGACGCTTTCGTTACGAATCAAAATCGTATTTGCGAATGGCTTGTGGCTTGCTTGTTTTCAAAATGTCGACAGGAAACGCCCCACAACTCGGTGGTAGACCCTCAGATTTGTAACCCTACTACAGTCATATTCGAAAGATGTACAGTAAATATGATCCCACCAAGATACACATTTAGCAAGAAGCTGCAGTGTTTCGTGGTATCTGCCCCAGCCATCGAATAAACAGACAAGCAAAATCGTTCAATAATATTTATGAGTATTTTTTCCGTAAGAAAACTAACCTTGGGCAAAACTTTCAATTAGACCTCCTGTTCATTTCATTCGTAGCCTGAGTGAACTCAGATATAGCGGATCCTGGTGTTGTCGTCCATGGTGCTTAACTGATGCTGGAACCCGAAGCCCTAGTAGAGCTTTAATTTAGAAACGTAGTGAACCAATTTACGTCTATGTAAGCTGCAAACAAAGTCTGCCTTGAGGTAACAACGGCTGAGTTAATTCCTCTACTTTTACAATATTGCATGGTACGGGGAGACGATCGCTGGATGACCATAAGTTGATATAGAACCTGGAAGCAGACACAATTATTGCTTGCAGTAATCTAGTCTAGCGTCATTATTAACTCTTAATACTATATTATATAAGATTTACCCGAAATAGATAAGATGTCCAAGAGCTATTCTTGCATACTAGATTTTATAATTGCACACTTGATTGGCTACCGGAAACGTTTTATGGACTATCCACATTGTAAAAGATCATTTATTTATATATTTATCCCGATAGCTGGAAGTTTGTTGAGTAAGGACCAACTGAAAGGCCAGTTTTGTCTACGTGGGGTATGACGATTGTCACTAATTGTTCCGCATGCACATAGAACGAAAAACAAGGCTACCCCAAATGGTTTTACTTTACGTTTGGCTATCACCATCTTCGTTGTCTATTGTAGGTGCCTGGATCAACACTTGTCAACAAGCAGTACAATTGCCCTGCTGCACTGTATTCAATGGAGAACATCCGCGATGCGTTGGAAAAGCAGGCCGAAGTGCTTACCGGTGGTGCCAAAGGGTTTGTCTCCGAATTTTGTAATTTGTCGTTGTAACACCTAGCTTAGAGTAAACAGACTAGGAGTGAGAAAGGATTTCTTAGTGATTCATAATGGTTATAACGATTGTTTAGCTGGCAAGGCATTTTACCGTATATGAAATACACCCTAATCCAATACAGATACTTTACAACATATAAGGTGTATTTCGTAGAGATCATGATGAAATCAGCCAAGAGTGTGTTGATGGGAGGGTTGCATCAGATTGAAGGCGAACAAATACCCCATACATTGACTTTTTCAAAGTCGAAACAAAAAAAAGACAAACTTTTCCCTTAGAACTAATATAATCGAAGGGAGTAATTCTTACCGTGAATAGAAGCTTAAAACACTTTAATCTCTACCCACATCTCCGGACGCCACAGATGACCGTAATTACGCAGAATGGCGCTCCGTTTACTGCAGACGACGCCGTTTATTTGCCCCAACACAAAGATGTGCCCGTAAAACATAATGAAATGAAACTTAAATAATCAAGTAGAACTGCTGACTAGCGGGTGCTTCCATACTGTGTTCATGTTTGGCTGCACGGTGTCATTATAGACATATTTCCCTATAGAAGTTAGCGTAAACCTCATTAACATATGTAAAGCTCATGTATAATGTAGTGATGAAATTATCGGCTTGAGGATCACATTTGCATGGTACATGTTATCTGTAAAGCCTAGCAACAGCAGCCAAACTAGCAATGATCACTCCTTCTGAAAACGAAGGATTAACATCACCTAAGCGGCGTGTGTTTAAATAGCCATACATTTAGCTATTCTATAAACAAATTCCACCATGTTCCTACGCCAGGTAAATCTTGTCATTTTCTGAAAACCACTACAGGAAGTTGAACCGCATGAATTTTCAGTGCTGCTTTTTTTTCCTAGTGCTTATTTTATCCAACTAAATACAAATAGTTTTTTTTTTTTTTTTCGCTCGCAGCGGCTGTATATACTGTATAAGATTTGGTTCGATCCAAGCATCTTATAATGCCCCCAATAAAATTATCATAATCAAAGTCAATATTTTTTTATGAAGCTCATTTACGTGAACCGAGTATTAAACACATGATGGCCTTGCTTTACTGCTTTTCACAAAAATTATATAATAAAACTCACTTGGACTCTCAGTCTGAGAAGACCTGAAAACAGGGACTTAGACACTGACTAATTTCTAGTGCGGCCGTTTCTCATACATTTTGAGCACAGTGGGTACTTGCCGAAACAATCTGATGATATAGGAAATTCTTTACAGAGTCCATTCATACACTTGAATAGAATTTCGTACCTAGTAACATACAAATTGATACCTCATAATCATAGTTATGAGGTAGAAAAGACTAGACAGAGAAACAGCTGCCATATGATCATATCTCTTCTCTGCGATTTGTATGCTACTAGGTACACAGTTTTAGCAATGAAAAAAGTCTCCTGGGAAACTAGGTAAAGGTAAATAAAACATCCGAGGGAAATCTTTTCTTTATTATAAACTGTGTGACGACCTGGCATGTCTTTATTTTTACTTCGCCCTAACGCAGATCACTGGGATTGTTTCTCTAAAAGCCTTTTTATTGCTTGGCGAGTTAGAAAACTTTAATATCGATATAATGGACCCATCGTAGGGCAATCTGATAGGCGAAACTTGGATGCGCAAGTTCTTAATAAGAAGACAATAGTTACTCTCGCTATATAAACCTGTTGACCGACATTTGCCGTACACGGGCCAATAAATTTAATTTTAGAAGGACAGTTTCTGTTTCCGTAATTTACTCTATAAAACTTTTAAGGTTAACTAGCTGAAAAGTTCTGCTGCTACTGTCGATATCATACGTGCACGGTGTTTTACTTGTCAAGTCGTATCGTGGAACTATTACGCTCAAATAACAAATCTGTATCTGTAAGAGTCGTAATTAGCCGAACCGTTTGTGTTTGAGAAAATTTTCTATAACGTTATTTAAGCACAACAGCCAACGGCCCGTGATTACGCATACATAACTGTGTAAATGGTAGAAGCCTTAGAAAGTTGTGAAGATGGTCATAAGGTGGTAAATAAGTATAGTAGTTGCAAACGTGAATCTACAAGTTGAATTGTTTATAATAATTATATCTGCTCCTTATCTTTCAAATCACATTTCAAAGTATTATTTTTGCTGAATTTCCCTTGCTCGCCCATATCCTAGTTCTCCCGCCATGCAAACAAACAAATGAATCTACTCCAAAGCTAATACCCATCACGCTGGTCCTATTGGTCCCTAAGAACTGGTGTTTTATGAGATAGTTTGGTGACCGTTACTCTCATGCCGATTTGCCCAACTTATGTCGACAACTCGATCGCCGCTCGTCTACCAGCTCACTTATGCCATAGTCACACAGTCACATTACGCGCAGTTGAAAGTCTCTACGAAGGTATCTATCGACCTCAGGGCATATAGCCGAAAGGGGTACAGATGGTTACGCATAGACACTCCTAGCAATGAGATCCGCAAGCATATAATGATAATAACTTCCTTACTGTTGTTATTATTATTATTATTATTATTCCATTTACGCACTTGTGTGCATTTCGAGTTCTACGTCCGGCTGGCCGTTACGCATTTCATCAGGCAGCTGACTGGCGCCGGCCGGTCTTGAACCTGGCTACTCTAGGGCTTGAACCTCAACTACGGAAGGTAGCTAATAGTGTGGTAGTGTGCAGGAGGCCGAGTCTTATGTGCCAAGGCATCACGCTGTGATCTATGCCAACGCGAAACGGAATGCTGGACGCAGATCGGCAACTCAAACCTGCCACTGAAAGAGAGATACATTGCTTTCGTTTCTCTAGCAATTAATCAATCTGTTAAATAATATTAGTGATCGACTTGTATCGAAAACAAAAAAGAAAAAAACTATAAGACACTGTAATCGAAACTGGTCTACTAGCAACATTTTCAACGCCCACTCTTGCATTTGTCTCGTTTATAAGCGAGTTTCCATGTTTTCTTTTGTGAGAAATAGCACATTTCAAATATCGTGTTTTCGCGTATAGCCTCGCTTAAGGCAATACTGGAAACTGTGGAAGCTGACCACGGCAGGAACTCACAGAATTGTCCTGAGACAATTTTTATGTTTACGTCTTGTGTTTGTTTTGCTGTTTCACGTCAGCGTTTCTCTTCGGCCTTTAACTAGCTACGACATTCATTCTCTCCGATACCGGTCGCTATATAGAACCCGTAGAGTATGTTACGTAGTAACCGCGCCTGATGTTGAATCATCTACTTATGTTGCATTATACGCCGTTTCTTGTCGTGATTATCGATCTTTCCTGGAATTACTATACGTTATATTAAGACTCACTTATGTAGTTCAGTGTTAAGCTATCTCTGTGTTCAGAATTGCCGCTACTGGTTCCATACGACTTGTATTTGAAAATCTCTTTTGACTGAAATCGAATTTATTAAAACACTGGACAGTGACTGCTAGGACAGCACAAATCCACACAGGATCCGTCTTTTACTAATTCTCCCAGTCGTATTCCATATTCTCATTGAACCACGACAATATGCAGGCTGCTAAGGACAAAGTGCAGGACGATGTAAGCTATGTTTCAGCAGACAATAATAGAATAGAGTAGGATATTGAGACAAGTGGTTATTGGCAGGAATTGCTATTCTGTTATAACAAGATAGTTATCGGGGTCCAGGCGCCGCTAGATATGGATAGGCTCCGCTGCCGTGCAGCATCCATTGCGTAGTCATGTATCGTTCCTATAATACAATTAAGCAGTTCTTTAAGCCCTCTTTGGTTAAATAGCTGAAGGCTAGCAGCAACGGTAAGATAGCCAGCAGTGGTAATGCTTCGTATTGCGTATATTGAAACAATGGGATTCTTGCACAGCTTTTTACTGACGTCGTTTTCGAACGATTTTTGCAGAATCAACTTTATGAAGGAAGATAAGCCTCTTAACACCGACTCGGCAGTCTACCGGATGGTTCAAGAGGAAGATAAGGCCCCACGAAGTGAGTCTCCACAGATATCTACTTGATAATATACATAGATAGAAATATCCATACAACTAACATAGTTGTTTCGTACTATCAGTCTTTTTACTGCCTCGTAGGCCGTCGATGTGCGATAGACTTTGGTCAGGCACGTATACTGTTCGTATTTCGTTTAGTCTAAAAAAATGGCCTATAGATTAGTTGTCCAACATAAAATACAATAGAAGGTCCATATATGCATTGGTGCAGCTATCCCGATTCAAAATGGCATATGTTCTGCCTAGAGAACAATTTGCCATCTAATGATTCACGAACATGTGCGGGTCCTAGCAGGGCCGGTTGAGCTACGTTGACATGGTGTTATTGATAGACGCTTGTATTAAGAGCAAATGGGGTTTATCCGCGCACGATAGAAGACCGAGTGAATGCTAGGAGATCGGTTGCCTGTCGTATCACATCGCCTTTCGTTGCGCTAAGAACACACTATGTATCTCTATTCTCTTTTATATTCGAAATGTTTCAGTCTATATATTTATTGAGGTTTACAACTGGAATAGAATCAACAAGTATATCTAAATTTCTAGACCTCTTCGTTAGCTGAATTCTTATCCGGACAAAGTTAGCTCTTATACTCATGGGCAGATTTTCTACCGTATACTTTCCGAAATACTTACGTGAGCCACATGTGGAGTCGATTACCCGTTACAGCTAAAGGTCGAGCAAGGCGTCTCGTCTCGCCTAGATAACACTGGGCCTGACCACAATTCCACTGTATATCGATGTCATAGCTGACAAAAGCATACGTGTTAGCGACGTCATGCACCTATATCCTGTTGTTTCTTAAGCCGCATAATGGACGAGGCGTACTCTTCATCACTTGGCAGTGGAGACTAGGATGGAAAGACCTGACTGAGAAAAAATTCATTTTGCGGTAATGACCTTCAGAGCTATATCGTTTAGTGGGAACAGAAAACGAGGCGTTTTCGGTAGCAGAGGATTTTTTCTGCCGGCTATGGTGTAAAACTCATGATACCCTCATCGGTTTTGGCGAGGCGTTTTCGGTAGCAGAGGATTTTTTCTGCCGGCTATGGTGTAAAACTCATGATACCCTCATCGGTTTTGGCGAGGCGCTCACTGCGGCGAATGTTTCAACAAAGAAATGCTAAATTGCCAACCAATTTGTTTGACTTGAAACTTTAATAAACGCTCCCATTCTATTCTGAGAAAGGCTGATACACTGTGATTCGTTTTTTTCATTGATCCCAGAGCTCCTTGTGTTTCCGAATGCGCTTGTACACGGTGATTTACTGCTGTTCATTATACTTCGTACTTGCCTGCTGCATCATTGACCATGCTTTAGGTTTACACTAGATAAGCACTTCAATAAATTTTAGACCCCATTATAAATATTATAGAACTTTGACCCAGGTAACTAGTGGACACTGTCGAGTGAACTCGATATCATCCGACCGACAATCGGTACGACGCGCGTAACACGCGATCGATGTTTTGTGCTTGACCAAAACGTGCTTTAAAAGGCACCGCATCTCGAAAAAGCTTCCAACGACAGCGTCGCCATGTGATTTTCAACTTTATTTGCCATTTGATAATTTCAGTATGGCTTATGAACGTTCGAAACAGCCAGCTAGCTCTGAACTAGAGAGCGTAATATAAGTTGTAGCAGTGGAAAGCAAATCTACTACCACCGCAGCGGTGGCAGTGGTGATATTTTTGTAAGGATTACCGCTGCTGTCCAAAGCTGCCACTCAATATCTACAGTCATTGTCTCCACTACCAACGGCCTACCCACTAACAATAACGAACAGGATGGTGGGGGCGCCGTTTGGTGTGCAGGTACCGCAAAAAGACATTAATACTCCTGACTAATTTCTATCCCCATCCCGACCGAATGATGAGGATGACCGGCTAAGAAGAATGCCCTGAAAATAGGATCTGTCCATTTTTTGATGACAACCTATTTTAGATAATCGTGGCATTGCCTACACAAAGAGTGTAACCTGTAAGAAACTTTTGTCTTCCAGTTGACTAGAATATCTGCGTAGGGGAAATAGATTAACTAACAAAGTATCTGCATTGAGATTGGTTCTTGAATTTGTTCTATTACTTTTTTTTTTTTGTTTTATATAGTGAGTGCAGATTGTACCCCTTAGGTTATCTAATTATAGGTCCTTCGTATTCTTTAGGTTAAAAACCGTACGCAGTACTATGTAATGTTCGCATCAGATAATAATAAGTTTAGATCATTTTAAACCATTAATGGATTTATTTTAACCTTTAATTTTCGTTTTCATTTACATATTTTTGTATATATATATATATTTGTGTTTGCTAGTTCCCTATATAATGTAAACATGTTAACTGACCATCATAATCTTTCGAGTTCGACTGTGATTGTACAATGGCTAATTATAATATATAGATGAAGTCCGTATGCTACCTTCGCACGCCTTACCTCCGTGGTCCTTACAAATGTTTAGATTATACGTTAACTTACGTTAGAATTATAAATCATTTCAATAAGCTGACTGGTGCAGCTGAATCTGACTTGATACAATGTGGTACAGTGTGTCTTATTATACAACAGCTGAAACCAGTCCTGGGATCCATCTCGGTAATTACTGCCAGCTATAACAAGCTAAATTACGTAGAATCATCGTATTTAAGAGCCTTGACATATTTGGAAGAGATTATATTTACTGAAGCTTACGGAACGATTGTGAATCTCAACGCTCGGTTTTTACGCTGGTCCATTTAATTTTATGATCGCTTTTATCTTCAACCTTTTGATGGCCCTTCTTATATTCTCCATGCACCGTCGCTCATGTTTGGCTTGCCAAACCGATACTTTTTCAATAATTTCGGTACCCTTCAATGTGTCCACAGTACAAAAACCCCCTTTCTCCTTATGATTTTTTCCTGTACCTGATGAGCCTTTGCGAATGTGGCATCCGAAATCAAAAGAACGTTCTTCCAAACCTATTGCAGCACCCGCGTCCCCGCTGCCTCGCCAAACATCGGGAATCGATTCGTCGCCATTGGGGGCTGCGCAGTCTGGATTGCGACACGTTGAAGCGCCACGTCCGACTCCACAGCCGGCAGCACCCCACGGCAATATCGCTGTCGGTGGACCCAACATCTGCGTCGAATGCGGCAAGATTATCGTGTAAGTCTCGACATAAAGCCTTTCCATGAAGAATTCATACGCCCTTACGAATTGATAACTTTACAGCTACAGTTATACACCCATGTACCGAACGTAGTTTGCAGGTTGTAGTTTACCTGAAAGAATTTAATTGCATTGATAAAGGCGTTTTAGTGATTGCTTTTTCTGTTGCGCAACAACTGTTAGTTTCATCGTCTTTCATAGAACAATATAACTTATTAAAAATATTTTTCTTCATTCTGGACGCGGTACATGACATTGTAATGGCAGTTAACTGCAGTATGACTCGTACTTTGAAGGCTGTGCATATTTGACATATCAATCTACTTACTGGCGTTATGCCACATATCAATGGTATACAGATATATATTTATGTGCACTCATCATTCTGAATCTTGATCTGTCTCGTGCTTTATCGCAATGTGCTCTGAGATTTTTCCAGGTGAGGCAATTCATATCTATTATCCATGATATAAATATTCAAATGGAGCGCCTCCGAAGTGTCACTTAAAAGGCACCGTGCGCCGTTTACTTTTCAAACGCAAATGAATTCTACTCAGGCAAAAACTCTATGATCTAGGGCACTAATGGCCTGAGATCTTCCAGGCAGAAGGACTTGAAATATTAGTAGAGGGAGGTTTCTGTTTAACTCTGGCTATCATTCGAATCGCGGAACACAAACGAATGGAGGCTTATATGGGGGCATAGTATTGCGGTGTGTTCGCTGACCTAGGTTGATTCGAAAATATGGCGTATATCGAATTGTCACTAGCAATCGGAATATAGCCCCTGTTCTAATTGCGATACCAGAACTTCTCTATATATCCTGTATATATTTTGAGCTTAATGTCCGCTATTGGCATCCGTTAAGCATTATCGATGCTGAGTAGCAGGGTGAAATTAAATTTCCTTTGAATCTGTCCTAGAGCTGATTTTCAACTATTCTTTCTCGAACAGGTCCTGGTGTCCCTGTCTTAGCGTTTCGGCCTCGGACTTTATGCGTTCTTAAGTCTATTATTAGACAAACACATAACCGCTGGCTCTATTTCGTGAACAAGAACATTACGGGTTGAGTTCGTACAATAAGCCAAATCTTGCAAGCTATTCACGGAGTGAACATTTTATTTTGAATTTTTAGAGCTACATGAAACGATTAATGCAAAAGATTATGGATACCGACTGAATAGTTTAAGAGAAAGTGCCCCTTGGCAATTAACAGAGTCTCTGTGATTTTACTTTAAGGATATCCTAGTTCCTTGAAAGTGCCAGAATTCGCTTTTCTGAAAAGTGCTTTTCCACAAGGCCTATTCACTGGATCTGTGTCTCCCAAATGATTATATTTAAATCGATTCAAAATTCGTTGACCGGAAAACAGCACTCAGCGGCTGGGTAAATCATTAAACGACTTTTCAGCGATTATCACTGATGAAAAAAACACCAAGCATCTACCGCACGAGAACCCATTTCGTTGACCAAAGTCCAAATACCGTTTTCGAGAATGAACTCGGACGCTGCTCAAAAACGCTGAGACTTCATATGTTTTCGTTTAAAGATCGAAGACTTTGGGGCACGTTCACTGTTAGACCAAATAACTAAGACATGGTACTCTAGTTCCCCTGAAGTCCTCGAAGTTAGATATCGCACATCGCATTGACATTGTAATCAGTGATACTGCTATCCCAATTGGTTAATAACTGCACCGCGGACTCGCTCCTTCCTTTTGAAGGATCCCCGTCTAGCCTTATCTGTTGCTTCAGCCATTGTCGCGATTATTAAAAGCAATAACTAACAATGGTATTTGCGAACACTTCTGCTTATTTGCCACGATTACTTGTGAGCTTTTTTTGCATTTTGCACATATATTGTTGGCCATGTACTTAGATTTTGCCGAATACTAAAACGATGTTTCGAGTTTTGCGTCCAGCGTCGCCGCTAAGCATTTCATCGGATGGCTGGCTCCCAGCGCGAAAGGAAGTGCTCCTATGCCCGGGTTCGAACCTGGACCATAACGTATCCCTAAGTTTAATGTGCAAACGCATTGCCGGTTAGGAGACATTGTCTTGATGCAACTTCCATGTCCATACTGGCCCGTACCTAAAAACTCCCAAATAGAGGCTTCACGGTTATTTTAATTATAGCAGAAATGAGCGACTAACCTCCCAAAATCCCTTTACTGCAAAATGTATGAGCCTGTTTATTTCGCTGCAATTGGAACCAATTTTTAACGTATTGCTTGCAGGATGTGAAAATACCCATTCTGATTAAGCGCAAATGCAAGGGGGGTGGATTAACCCGAAGCCCGATGGTTGTAAGTCCTGTGCCGTACGCACTTTTTGAGATGGCCGACAAAACTCGCTCTGTTAAATTAGCATTTATCATGAATTGTACGGTAGATTCTGTTGTTTTCTGCTAGATCCAGACCAAACTAACAGGCTATAACGACAAACATATTGGAAGGAATCACAATTAAAGACACGCTACACTGATCAAGACCGGTTGCAACATATATTAAAAAAGTATGTTCATATATATTGTGTCTTCATATAGGCAGCTTATCGACTTCAGAATTTTAATCGGTATAAGTTATCACATTTCAAAATTGTAGTACTAACGACGATAGTAGCCATTTGTTTAAGTGTCACACATGTGGCTTCTGCACGATTTCCATACATGATCAGTATAAAGCGCACCATTTTCTCAATGTCAATGATTTACGTAACAATGATGTCAATTCCAGAAGTATCCTGTCGAACGATTTTGGCGTTTAACTGAAGATTTCAACATTTGAATTTTTCAAAGGTGTGCTTCAAGTTAAAGGTACAATAGCGTTAGATTGGATGAATAGAATGAGGATGAAAAGCGTACCTAAGGCAATACCTCACTGAGCGTACCCCACCTTTGTTACCTGGGGCATATTTTTGCAGATATCATCTAACTCATTCCACTTTGGCCACTAATGTAGAAATGAATCTGAAAAATAATCGCTCATGTTACCTTATGCCGAGCTCGGGGATCATATACGCCCAGGCCAAGGCACTGATTTTGTTATCTACAGAAACAAGCCGTTAATTCGTTATGCAATATTTGTCTACAATTTTGCATCATGAATGAACCTTCATGATAGACAAAAACAGACAGCGTACTAGTTTTTTTTTTTGCAAAGCGATAATTAAGGGATTACAGAATGAAAAATGCCACCCTAATGTTTAGATCGTTCTTTTCTTCTAGTCGATAGCACTTCCAACTCACAACACGAGTCTTTGTATGCAACCCAACAACCACAGTGACGGGCCTTTGTACTTGCATGCCTCGAAGGATACGCGGAATTTATATATGAAACTGATTCTGGGTCGCGTTGCTACATAGGTGTACAGAATCCATGCTTTCTTACCAATTACTAGTTCACAACATCCCTATAATCCACGCGGGAGAAGATCCGCTTTTCACGCTTCCATGATAGGTGTCTGCTAAATTTCAATAAATTATAGTGAAATCCTGATAATTAAATTTAAACATCATCGACATAGTTATAGTGGAATACCAGGGCCCATGTTACAGATCGATTTGAAGATGTGTCTAATTCACAATCGAAAACATATTGCGAAACAAACATTACACACAGCCTGTATGAATGAGCTCTTCCATTTTAGTTGTCTTCCATAACACAAGTATTTCTTTTGCTTGATCCATGGTGTTTCGCTAAGCATATAAAAGCTTGCCTTCATACCTCCGCTGTAGTCTAGTTCCTGGTTGCCAATTTCGATTACTGTGTGTTTGTTTTCGGCTTCCTTTTGCCTACTCTTTCTCTTTTTGACTTTAGAATAAACATGCTAATATTTATACATCCACATGAATACACAGATGGCGGGAGATTTAAATTCGAACGCGCTTTGGTGAGGCGTTTGTCGTAATAAACATGCGTTCATTCGCTATTCTAGTACCGGAGGTGAGCAGGTTTTTTTTTTACAAAATGAAATAATAACGACCAAAAAAACACAGGTCATTTTTCATATTTGAATAGATACCAATTATTATCAAAATTGTTCGCGTGTAACGAATCCCTCATCAAAACTGGAAGAAATTATCTTCGATTTTCATGCGCCGTTTGAAAATCAAAAGATAATTTTCCTCCTGGAAGATCCTGGATGGAAGATCCTCAACAACGTTTCGACTAAGACGCTAAAAAAGATGGATCAAAATGCCTTCAAATAATAAATTAATCGTTGTTTCGGAGAGCCGAACATCAATAGGCAATTGAGTCATCCAAGTAAGCTCCAATGATTCGTTTTTTTTTTTGAGAATCTATGCGTCTCTTTATATTTTTAATATTTATTGCTCGTCCTGAACTTTGACATTTTTGGCAGTTTTCACCTGCTACCAATCCAAAGTTCGATTTTGCCGAAACGTTTTTAAGCGGCATTTTGCTAAGTTTACAGCAAGCATGTCCATCACTTGTTACTAATAGGAAGTTGCTTGTGGATTAAAGGAGACATGTTTTGAAAACGATCAGTGAGGTCCCAAATTGAAGAATTTACGTAATCGTTGTACTGCGTAAACATAATCATCAGGAACAAAACTTGTAGCAGATGAAGGAAAAATTGCTGAAATATCATTGTTTAAATTAAACAATCTTAAATACAACTCCTAAGATGAAAGGTCGGATTTCGACGTTTTATTATTACGACATGCCTAAGTATACGTATTGGAAGTTCTATGTTATTTATGCGTTAATATATATAGAGGCTATTGGTAACAGAGGACCAAACCATTTTGACCATGTTTAGTAACGATACCTTAAAAGGAGTAGATTGGAAAAGGATAGCATTTGCAGTAGATTGTTGCGTCGATAATCGTTTTCAAGGCAAACACGGATAAAGGTAAATAAAGTTATTAGTATCACATCAGACGTCTTTCACATAAAGGTATTTTCCTGGTAACTTAGAACGTACAAAAATGCACAAATTCCCGTACTAAGTTATAACGCGCTTTTTTAACCATCACTAAACTTACTGAGCGAGATTCATACCGCTCTCAATATAATGCACGCACTTAGTGGCTGTTTGCGACATATAGCAGCACACGATTAGACATTTGGGTTCTGATAGCTATACATCTTTGCCCAATAGTAACTACCAATGGGCCCATACGTATCTCGCTAGAATCAAAAATAGAAGCAGTTCCTGAGCTCGATCCGTTCTGCTAGAAAACACAATGTGGGGGGTACTAAAGGACAATTTCGGTGAGCTCGATCGACGATATGCTACTTGTGAAGTTGCTTTATGCCGCCCTTACGTTCTAGGTCTATATACCGCAACTGTATAGAGGCTCCGAGCATGTTCCTTAGCTGAGCCGGTAGGCTACTATTATTACGGCAATTTAGAAGGGATCGGTAAGTATGACCGTCGACTAATTGGAAGTTACATCGGCACGCACGTATAAATTGACTCAGAAAAGTCACACTGGCCAACCAATGCAAAGCGCACAAAGGGCAAATGGTAGCACATCGGTAAACGTTTCCGTGTGCAGTTAACGCGGACAAGGTGACGCTGTTGCCTATAGGTAGATAGTGGACGAATGGGCAACGACATAATGTCATGATTTATATTAGTATATAGAATTGTAGCAGTAAGTACTGGCAACGTTAAAGATCACTGTAGTTGACAAATCTGTACCCGAATAGGATGGTCAGCAAACTAATACAGGTACACACGTACGATCGGAGAGACGCGCATGCAGAGAAAAGATTTCCCCATATTCTGTGTATTGAATCAGATTCTTAGCCGTGATTAGTACTAATTCGCAGTTCAGGTTCTTACCGCAAGGTCGAAGGCTTAGCGGAGCAATTATTTTACAGTAACTAGCTAAGAAATTTCATCAACACTCTGCAGGGGTGTCTTTTGTCGGATTAAGGACCGAAACATTCATGCTGAATGCTTCCGTTGCGCAACGTGTGGCACATCGCTCAAGAACCAAGGCTATTTCCTGGTTGGCGGTAAGCTCTACTGCGACATGCATGCACGTAACGCCTCCGTTATGCTCAAAGAGCCTGTTTCTCCGTAAGTATCCGTTGCATTATATGCTAGGTACTTCAACTGCTGTAGTTCGAAGCAAAAAAAATTACTCCAAATTATGCACTCACGAATAGCGCAGAGGACAGTGGTGCTATATAGCTAAAATTTGTCAAATGTTACTAACCATCGTGCGCAAAAAAGGTCACTTTGTTAACAGAGCTAGAAATAAGAATAATAATAGAGAAAAAGCTAATCTTGCCTAGAGGTGCTTTATCTTATTTAGTATCAAGGTGGTTATATTGAAAATCATGATTTTTGCGTTGTAGCTCCTCGTGGAGCTTTGCTGATCGCTGGTGGATACGGAAGTTGCAAAGGTCGGAGGGGATTTACAATGCGGTGTGTACCGTCTTCTAAAATCTACTCCAACACACGCAAGCGTATGGAATTAGCACCTTTCCCATAATTCCGCTATGCAAAATGGTAGTCTTGGTCCATAATCGTGATTTTACGATACGAGTACGAAAATAAATTCGATAGAAGGCTTCGATTTACTCTGGAAAATGTATCATAAGGCGAAGTTCTATTAAAAAAACAGCTCGCCTTAAGGAAAATAAGGTTATTTAGATTCTTCGCATGTCAACAAACGTTTCGATATTTGGTCGGGAAAAACTAAATATTTCAGATCTTAGCATATTTCCTACCTAAATGATAAAACCCTAAAGATAATCACTATTAAAACTAGTATTCCCTCTTTAAAAAACCGAGTTTATCGTTGTAGCTGGATATCGCTGGACAAACTTACAACCGATTTTATCGACCAGGACAATTTATAGTACATTGACTTTGACCTATCCTGGCGTTAGTTCAGATATCATTCAGGGTATGATTAGCGGGTCGCTAATATTTTGGGTGCGTCTTCGACGTCTGCTAAGGGGAGTTAAAACTAGGGTGTGTTTCGTCAGCAAACAAGCCAGTATAACTGAAGTTCCAAACTTCTTTGCAGTTGGTGCAGCGACTGACTGCACGTTTAGCTGTTCACTACGAAGGTGTACATATTATAAACCCTCGAAAAACTATAGTAATATAGGCAGCACAGGATATTCTAGCGATACGCTTGCTTTCGAGTCGAGCTGCTTCTCTACACTGTGATTATGTGTGAAAATCAATTTATACCACGTTCTGTAATCGACTGTTACTGTTGGGCCACTGGTTTGATGTGGAAGCAAGCGTATCGCTAGAATGATATTGAGCTATATATGAGAGCTTCTGTCGCATTTCATACTGACTGGCTTGACATACTGTTGTATGAGTGATAGGGATAACTAGCTGATCCACGTTTATCGATTCACGACTTAACTTACTGGTAACAGATCGTTTGCCTGTGGAAAGATACCTTTCCCGCGTCTGGCCTCCTATCGAATATTCGTCATGACGATCTTCGGCGGAAGTTGAACAGTGTTCTTACCCTGAAGTTTGATAAGACACCGTAGATATTTTCTACGAAATGTAACGCATAAAAGTGAGAAGCAGTGTCACGTACGATCTCCTGAAGGAAATTGTTTTGTTTCTATTGGTGTCCGAATTAGTCGGCTCCTAACTAAACGAAACTTCACAACATTGAAGATGGCGGCGTATGGTCCTACTTACAAATAAGAATTTTATGCGGAAAACCATTCTAGCCAGCCACATATGGACAGGTGCATCGTATTTGTCCGCCGGCTTCTCTGTTAGTCGTACTCATTATGGTACAGCGGGGAATGGAGAGCAGGGGTATAGCGAGAAGCTTTTTTACATTGAAGAAAAAATCATTTATTTTTTCTACAGAGCGCTCCCATCATGAAAATGTTAAACATTCGACAAGAGATAAACAGATAGATAGAGAGAGAGAGAGAGAATAGGAGCGCTACTGGCACCTACCTAACTAAGAGACGAGATTTTAGTCTAAGTTGGTGCGTTTTCAAAATGAACTCAATTCTCTCTTCCTTCCTATGGGAAAAATTTTTCATGAATCGGTTGGTTCAGATATTGTGTTTTATTGGTGGCAAAATTCGACTGCTCAAAAACAAAGCTATCCATCCGACAGCTGCCATGTACATTAAGAGATGATATGTCATCAACTTCGGTATAGGATTCCTGTGATAATGCATGATCGTAGCGTTTGGGAGTTCCTTTTTTCACTGCGTAGCCGATCGTTGAGGGCTAGAATACCGGGTGCGCTGAATAGTATAGATTAAGAGGTCGAACCCATCGTGTAGCATTCAATCGCATAACTACTTTTTTCATCAAGCCTTTTGGCAATATGTAGACGAAATATGCTTTTTTTATAGATGCACATGAAGAGTTTCCCCCGTAGAACCGATGTCACGAAGGTCTTTAGGGTCACAAACACATTTCTTCTGGAGCTGTATTTTCTTTTTTGAGTTTTACAGTAGCTCTAATGCCCCCGTGGTGCCGCTGTCCACGCCCGCTTCGATTTCGTCGACGCCTGCGTCGTCGACGCCTTACGGCGCACATCCGTCATCAGTGAGTCTTTGTAGCAGCGGTTCATTCAGCTTTATTCGAATTTACCTATGTTACTTAAAATAGACGCAGATTATCTTTACGCAGCTATTTTTCGTCGTTTTTCAAGTTAAATGTATATTTTTTAAATTAGATTTTAGAAGACGGAGCTTTTAGTAGTTAAAAGTTTATGACTTACTATTGTTATTATTACCGCTGCAGCTTACTTATCCGGGATGATGATCAGATAAACTGTAGCTGCATACTAAGTTAATCCAATTCACTGTAATACCCCCAGGTTGGGGGCAGGCATTACTGGGAAGCTCTACTTTTGGGTGGTTTAATCGAAAAGGGTGGCCGATTGTCGAGCTAGTAATTATTGGAGAAGTTCATCTATGATAGAGAACACCAGAAAGAAGAGAAGCTATTGAGCTTATATTCTAAAGCGAAGATATTCTGGGTCTCAAAATTCTAATGAATAAATGGGCTGGTTCGGCCATCGATAACTAGCGCGCTTGCATTAAGTTATGCCTGCGAACTTTTTATGCGGCTCGTGTGAAATCCATTAAGCTGGAAGCGTTCATATATATATATATCAGTTCCTGGAATGTTCTAATTGCAACACTGCACAGAAAAATTATCAGGGTAAAATATGAACGACAAATTACGTGGAGCATAAAATGTCTCGTCTTTAAAATTTCACGAAACCAGTTTCGTTCGTTTAGATCGATACGCAATCCTAATGATTCGTTAGATCATTGGCTCATTTCCGATCGATTGATCTCGTGCTAAGTTGTCTTCAATTATTCAGAATAGTTACTTTATCTGTTTGCAGCTTCAGTTTTCTAAAGCCAAAAGTTTCTAAATTTCTAATTTTTATGCTGCCGATGTTTTATCTAAGGCATTCTAGTCGTCAAAGAGCATCTAGAGGGGGCATAAGCTAATTTTCTGATTCATAATGCTTCGATATATACAGACACTTATCTACAGCTATGGGTCTGGATGACGCTTCGCTGCAGTAGCTCGACCTCCACGATAAATAAATCAATAGGGTGTAAATGTACGCCATGTCTACAACTATCTTTCAAGCTTTTGCAGCCAAGAGCGTGCTACTAGCTAGTAAAGAGTAAGCTAGTGTTTTTTTTTTTTTTTTTAACAAGAACTTTATGCTGATTTGTCGTGTTTTTCTCTTTTTTCATCGTGTTTGTGGCATTCTATTCATTGTGTTTTCTGTTCCTTTTTCCGATTCGTTCCTTTTGATCCTCTTCTCTGTTAATTTCTTTCAGCTTCAGTTCCGCTCAGTCCCTCCACCTCTATCACCTAGGCCCGACCCTCAGGTAATAACCGATCCTAGCAGAGATAGTATTAATGATTATTTGCCTCAATGCTAGCGAGTGACATTGTGTTGTATTATTACTGTGTTGATCGTTTGCGTCGCCTTTCGTTGAGGTTAAGCTTCTGCCGCCGTCCGTCCATTCTGCTCCCGTAAAAGAAGATCGAAGTCGAACGAGCATGACTAGCGACAACTTCTTTTTTTTTCTTGTTTTTGCTACTTCGATATGTGTTTTTTGAAATATATTGAAGTTGGCTTTGAAAAGCTTTTCATCTCTAATGTGTACACTTTGAAACATATACGAGTCAGTATTTATTGAACACCCTCCTCCGCTATTATTTGGCAGACCTCATTCTCTTTTGGAGATCATGAATCAAATAGTCCAGTGACGACGGAATTTTTTCAGGTCGAATGTGCTAATAAACTGAAGTTAATATTGTGACGGGGATCTGTCACTGTCACATATCCTTCTCGAAGACATATTCTAGCTTAGCTAAATGTATCGTCTTCATTGTTATTCGTCAAATACATCTACTGAGTGCTGCTAGCTATCACCCGTCGACTTCAGAGCGACATCTAATCGATTTGCTTAAGTTTCGTTTGTACAGACCTACTTTGATTTATACAGGCCTATCGTAGGACGGAAGAAACAGGAAGCGTTACATGAAGAAGGTCTTCTACACCATTCTATAAGTTATCGTGAGCTTATGGTAAACCGGTGCGGGTTTTGCTGTTCCCCATATATATATATATATATATATATATATGAAAAATGGATTTACTTTAGAACTGTAGTAGTAGTAGTACATCTGGCCATTTTTTTTCTCTGTTTATCACACTTGTTCCATTGTTAACAAATTATATAAAACTCGTCGCTCCTTTATATGGTCGTGTACAGGACAATGGATTTTCGCTGAACAGTCATACTAGTCGTTTATGTAACATTGGATTGCCCTTTTTCTATGCGACTCGAAATGTGGCGACATAAGCTGACGTTGCCGCTGTCAACCCAGTGTCCCTATGTCAGAGCATCCGTAATTCGGACCCACCTTGGGCAAGACATATGACAGACGCTTCATATTAGAAACTCGATAATAAAGCTGGAATTTCATTCGATAATATTTTGCCTGTTTCAGATATTAGATCGCTTGTTATTAGATAGCAATCACTCAAAAGTTTACTTCGCTAACTTTTCTACCCCATCTATTCCACCCTACCTCATAACCTAGATTACGAAATTCTCCTTCTACCACGGCCGCTTTCAAAGCGAAACACGAGCCGATTTTTGTTGCCCTTCAGTGCTAAAAATCTGGGTAACTATGCTCGATATGTTCTCCTGAAAGTCTAAGACGAGTTTACAATTTGTGGCTAAGCAGTAACGAGAACCCCATCAGTCTGTTGCAGTCAAACGTATGGCTTAGCCGCCACAAGCGTTTAACGAATAACGATGGAGGTAAAGTCTGGCTGAGAGACAAAGCCGGAATTACCCCTTGGCCGCAGCTACCTTGGCGTTTACCTCCCTTATTACTGCCCGTGTCCGACCCTTGTTGCATAGTCAAATGCCACCAAGAGAAAGAAGGATGCATGCGTTTTTATGACGAGACCGACAGCATACAGAGATGGCAAACGAAAAAGGGTAACGGTCATCATCGGGAGCGCACAGTTTTTGTTCATCCAATTAGTTGTTTTTTTTACTAATTGGAAAAAAACACGAGGACGGCATGGCAATCATGCCTTATGCATACTGCAAAAGAAAAGAATCATTAGAAATCATTAATTCTTGCAGCTTGAACCACTATAGGCCATCATTGGGACCGCCCGCCGTAGGCGGCAAACGAGTAGAACGATTATAGGACACCAATAGTTGCGGCTAACGCAATGTAGACAATTTAGAACTATTGTCAGATTTCTTCGTGGTATACCCATTAAATTGTCATTATTATTTCTCTGTTGCTTTTCACTTTTATAGCGCGGTTCCGGATGTTTCGATGCATCAACTATCCCCGGTACGTATGGTTATACTTAGAACATAGCATCATTAAACGCTTGCCCCATATAGGAAATTTTGCGAAAAGAACTTCTATAAAATTAATGAAAGCAACATAATGTTAAATGACATCGACGCAAAGAGAACGACGCGTATGGTTTATGTGGCACTTACATACCATATTACCTTATACCTATTCTTATATTCACCTCTGATGGAACCCGTGTTGAGTCAATGCACCCCCCGAGCATTCTCGTGCGTCTGCTATTCAAAGGGCACGTTTGGTGTTTGATAACGAACGCCTTCTGTTGCAAAACGACTATCGCGTTGATGTTACGTGAAGCATGCTTTTGATTTGATCATTAGCAAGCAAGAAGCACGCGTTCAATAGGTGCCATGATTACCCCATCTCACCTCCGCTGTGAACCGACCAAGCTCGAGAGTAGTGATTTCCGTAGCAATCGTTTTGTCTAACAGCTTTATATTGCAGAACAAAAAGAAAAACCATAATCGATACAAGGCAAATGTTATATATACACAGCGTAGCGTGTACAAACATAGCAGGAAAAATTGTAGTTCCAATTTACTACCCACAGGCTTTTATACCTAAAATGTCATATATATGTGTGTGCTTTTAAGTGCAATATTGTTAAGGAATTAAATTGGGTTCAGCATAATTACTACGAGTGCTGGTACAGCAGAAATTTATGCGATATTCCTAGTAATAATAACTCCTGAAGTTACAGTGAGTAAAAACTAAATCGTTGTAGGTATAGGCACCACTTCTAAGAGTAAAAATCTATAAAATAATTGCGTAATGTGTAACAAACCAATCTAGGTTATCTAGATTCAATACCAGGCGCAGCCTTATACATTGGCAGGCACCTTTGAAGGGTACCGATATCAGATACGCAGATCTAATTCAAATTGGCTTATCTAATGCTACTTCGCGGTTTTCATTGTCCTCCTAATTTTCAAAGTCCAGTCTATAGTCACATGTATATCATATAGATCACGCGATATAGGCGAAACAAATGTGCGGTGCACGATCACAGTTTCTTTACCTGTCTGTATATAGCTAAACATTATTGAGTTGTTATACACAAATTGTGTATTGTTTTTTGGAGAATTCTCCCCAAAGCCTGCTTTTGCCAAGTAGCATGAGTTGCTACGCCCGACGCCTGCGGTAGCTATAACCATCATCACGCTTTTGATTACATTGCACATAGGGGTTTATAAACTACTGCTACCGTCCTTATGACTGCTATCTGACTTCCGAATGCCGCTTGGATTACCATCTTCCGTAGTCCCCTGTTGGCCGGTCTCATCTGCAGCTGTCAAATCTACCACGTCGTTTCAGACAAAAGACTACCAGCTCCTTGTTGTATTGTATCCTCGAATTTCTCCCTTTCGTGGACTGCTATTGGTAAAAACGTATATTGTTGAAACATCTCGACCCTCTATTATAGCTTGGCCGAACGCTTTATATACACCGGTAATCCTCGAGCAGATGGCATCCATATGAGGACACACAATATCAGTTCATTAGTTCTATAAAACGGTCGTCAGAGGTTATCGAAATTCATCTATGTATCAGTCAGTCTGTCAACAAAACCAAATGTTCTTTTCCGTGAAGGTCGTCTACTACCTTGTTCTTTTTCTGCATGGATTCGTTTGTAGACGCTTGTGTGTGCTTTATATATGCGTAGCTGTAACGTGCGCATCATTTATACGTGCGCTTCCTTGTCTGTTTGGTCCCGGGCTGGCCAGCGTATTGTCGGAACGTATCTACCGTATGCTGCGGCTCATTGACGGAACAGCATGGAGAACAACCAACTTAACCGATATGAATCTTTGCTTCTTTAACCCTAATTTTTCTGTCCCTTAATTCTAACCCTACGTGGCGTCATCTATAATTTTGTATGTGATTCTAATTTCTGTCTTTATACCGCTTAGCCCTGCCTTATCTGTTCGAACCCTTTTCCGCTCCGACCCGGGCTTTTAAACTGATATATTCGTGCCGGTGCAACTGCGCATTCAGTCGTGAAAGCATCCATCTGCGCAACGTGTGCGACACGTTTACACAGGCTTGGTGGTATTTTTCCTCAACAATAACTTGATATTATCATTTTTTGCTTTGGTACTTTTCCACTCATCATTCGCTGTCGTGCTTTCTCTGACATTTTGTTATTTTTTTTGTGTCTTGATATCACGGATGCATACAAAACTCGGTTCGACCTTCTCCGGGCTGGCGCAGGTCTTCTCAGGCTATTTTATTTTACTCTTTAACGCGCATGTCATCCAACCAATTAACTCGGTGCAGATTTATTGTTTTTCGGTCCTTCCATGTGCGCAGCAGAGTACTTCAAAAATTGATATGATATCATATATATACTTGTCAATGTTGATCTTTCAATTTATCTATGGCCTGATTCCCTTTCGCACAGTGTTTAATATGTAAACTTCTGTGCGATGCATGGCTAAAATCGCTTGTTAACTCCCAAATATCATACGCGGTCTATCACGTCAGATCCATCCATTTGCTTCCACGTCTTATTTCTATTTCAATTTGCCCTATTTCCTATCTTTTGCAAATCCGGTTTGCTTTGGCAGGACGCGCCGTTTACTCGCTCGTGACTCGGTGCCGCTTGTAGGACTATCACTAAGCGCCACCAAAAAATGTTTTTATGGACCTTGCCCTTTGTTTTTGCTATCTCTACCGTTTGTTTTTGTCTTTCCTACGTCCATATCCGATTTATGCACGCTATTGCGCTGTGCGCCCTTTCTGTCTTCCTCATGTAGTTTTGCCTTCGTCTGCAGCGAACGCTTTGTTCGCTTGTCACCCTCTGGGTGACTCCTTCTGACTTATTTGCCCTGTGTGATCCCTTTTTTCGGCTTGCTTTCTACCTTATTTGGTTACCTTTGTCATTTTCCCAATCGACTATTGCTGCATTTATCCATAATTAGTGTGGTGCGGCATGACAAATTGTTAATGACATTACACCTGCCGATGCTGGTCTTGCCGTTTTGACGCGAATAAACGTGTCTTGGTAGCCCGTTCTCCGCTTGCCTTTCCTCTTTGCCTCCCCATATGACGCATTACTCACCTGCACACCTTTGGAAAGCCGCACCGCCCTGGTTTGTGCTGCCAGCCCCTGTTGCACCATTCCCTTCCTTCTTCTGCAGCGGTGACGTGGGCAGCTCGCTGTACAGTGACACGCCGACCCTGAATCGTGTGACAAGTTCCGACCGCGCCAAAGGGACACAGCCAAACGACAGTCAGCGTCACTTGGTACTGAACGCGATGCAAATCGTGCCAATGTATCGACCTCTACCGCGCAGCCAGCGTGAAGGCCCATATGCTTATTATAGCACTACAACCCCAACAACCTATTTCAGTTATCTGTACCCATATGCTTACGGCTACTACGCTCCCTTAGCAGCTCCTGGAGGCTCATCGTCACCGGCGAACGTTGCCTCAAGGTGGCCACCCCAGCAGCAGAAACAACAGCAGCAGCAACAACAACGAACTCAGCAGCAAAGTGTCGAGCAGACGACGACCACGACAACAACGACGAGCGCAGGTTCCGGATTGAACCCAGGAGCTGGCAACTGGCCCGCACCTCGCCGAGGACGTGGATTGCTCAGTACGCAGGCGGCCAACGTTGGACGCATTCCAATCTGTGCTAGCTGCAACGTGCCCATCAGGTACCGAAAGACATGCGCATAGAAGAATTAAGACAATGATCGCGGCTGGCGAAGAGGCGAAACAGAGGAAGGGCAGGGGTAGCGGGTGGAAAATCGAGGGGCAACACAGAAAAAGGAAGAGCAGTAAAACGCCGGCTAACAAAGGAGCAAGCGGAAGATGAATCGAACAACAGGGGCACCCGAACGTATTTAGCAAAGTAGTCAGACGCGCATACATACATAAACACAAAGTGGTGGCCACAGACAACATAATCGCATGTTCACAGAACTATATACACGGAAGAAACGCCATGATCTTCAGAGAAAGACTTTTCGAGGGTTGCTACACTAATGGGCCTTAGATAAGGTGGCCCTTATCTTAAGGTGGTGGTCGTGATTCTTTAGGATTTACAATTGTGATAGAAATTTTCCTGCCAGCTTGTCTGTTGTGTTATTTCAGTTGTCGAAGAACTTTAATTCTCACTGTGTATTGTAGAACGATTGAAGTACCGATGCATCTTTGCGTCCGTCCCTTAAGTGGCAGCTTAAAATGCTATAAAATGTTATTGCGTTAATGGAGTTCTTTGAAATGCCTTTCTTAGGCTGCCTCAGCCGTAGGAAGTGAAATAATTAACTGAATAAACGACATGTTAAATTCTCACTCAGCAAGCTACTGGACTATAAATGAGCAATGAAACAAACGAGGGCCTGAGGGATTTTTATTTGTGGGGACGGCGGACATAACTTTACTGACCGTAGACGAAGCTTATATCAGGGCTGAGTATCCTCTTTAGGCTACAGGCAACCACGTTGATTTTTATTTACGTATCTCTACTGAGTCGTGAACATGAGCGAACAAACCCTTTCACCTTCTTTTTTTTTGCTTTCAACGCAGAATTCATTGCCGAGCACCAAATGCAGACAGCATGTTGCTATTTTTATTATACACAGTTACTAGTTCGTTCACGTGTGTATTATTAGATGAACGGTCCGATGCTCATCACAGTATTGTTATATTTTGTTTAATTGGCGACGACAGATTACTCGTTGCCTAGCGTGCATCGTTCTATAGCTGTTGTTGTCCAAGTCCTATGTGAACTTCGTATAGTTTTCTGTTAACCCATTGACCTTATGACAACGCTGCCATTATGCAAATTCTATGCGACTCCATGTGTAGTCTAGGTTATAAGTGTCTCGCCTAAGTAACGTGAGCAACAAACCTGTTTACGCTACTTAGGTAAGTCTAAATAAGACCACCCTTGAGGAAAAGGAACATTGGGATACAATTGGAAGCGATGTCGTTCGATTCTAGCCAAATTCTACTAATTTTTAGGCTGCGTAAAAGCGAATCCGGCAGAGCTTGAAATTGAACGTTTTATTTTAATTGCATCAGTAACTCGCTCGTATTAGACAGAGCTTCGCTAGCAAATATCCCAGCCGGTTGAAAATCCGAGAATGAAAACCAGTTGAGCTTACGCCAGAGGAAATGCGTTCAGACGTAAATACATCTTCTAGTTTCGAAAACTAACGCTCAGTTGTCAAGCTATAGCACTCCGGAACTTTGCTTACGGGGAAAGTTTGTGGAGATATTAGGGAAGAAAAAACTCATCCGAAAGCATAGTATGTGAATGGTGTGAACGTCTCAGTAACGGTGAGTGGAATGTTAAAAAGCTAGAAGTTAAGCAGATGTCAGGACTTGAAAGAGAAAAATACGTGGCCGCAATCGAGAAGGATTCTCCCGAAAGAGTCTTAGGACTCTGTTGGCTAAAACTAGCAGACCACACGAAACGTGTTACAGGATTATAATCCAAATACTGACAATGCGAAAACTGAGTAAAAAATTGACCCTTCGTGAATTAACTTCAGGCCAGTTGATAATGCCGTTTGCAGAACTTTAGTCAGCAAATATACGATCACCATAGACGAATAAGGTAACAGGAAAAAGCTACAATGGATATCAGAAGAATCTGCTACTATGAGATACTCATCGAAAATGAATTAATGCAGTCTAGTATCTGGACTTTTTCATGAAAGGCATGAGACATTTGGAGAACAATCATAAGCACAAGATCTGGTTACTTAATAAGACCTCATCAACATGCCTTAAAATACTTACTGAATTGAGCACATCGAGCATCTAATGTTGGCTTCGCATGTAAAGTATGGCAGGGATACTTATATATCCGTATGAATCGAGTGCTGTATATGGGTACTTCTTTTCAACCGTAGTTTCGGTTGCCCTGATCAACGTTTAGATGGTGTACATATCAATTTCTAGATCAGGCAAATCGGCTTCGCATAGGTCTTACAAGCACAAACAGCCTGTGACGTTTTTGCATCCAAGGGAATTGGTCTACTCGTAATTCATTCATGTCAATATCATTACGATCACAGGTAACGCTGTCAATGGTTCGACAAAAAATTCAGTTCGACCTTGGCGAGGTTGTTAGCCGATGTCACGTGGTACGACTTCATCGATGAAGTCGTACAGTTGTTTGGATGTCATTAGTATCGTATCGGCGGTATTTACTAGCAAAATAAACCCAGCCCACGGATCATCGCGATTGGTTCGTAGGGTGTTTACTCCATTCAAACGCCGTTACGAACCGCAGCGTGCCGGTGAGGCCAATTCGTAGAACGTTAAATTGGGCCACTGAATACATTTTGTGAGACATTGCTTTGTGATTTAATGACCCATTCGGCTTTTGGGCATAGGACATGGCTGTTGTTCCCCTGCGTTGCCTTTCCTGCATATATTCCTTATAATATTCCGCTTTTTAGTAATTCACATGTATAACTGTCGGCCATTGATGCTAGAGCGTGAGCAAGATGGGCCGAGGCGTTACACGAATGCGGCCTATTAGAGACTGTATGGACACCATATTATCTAGCCATGTGTTACATGTTTCAATGAACTGGTAACCTACCGAAGAGCTAGTTTGGCGTGAAAAAGACGTTACCTTTTTACCAAACAGATGAACGAGAAAGTTAGAACTGGTAAAGAGAGGACACGGTGCGAAAGGGCCACACGTTTGAAAAGTGCACTCTCTTTTAGTAGTGTGACAATATGTTTATCTGATACATTGTGAATGATGCATAGCTCAGATGATCTCCTGATTATAAGCTGTGAATGCGATTTTTATAAGTTTTTATATAGAAAAAAAAAAAAGAGGATAATTACGAAGTGGTAAAGGGCACATTAAACTTTCCGTCCTATTAGAAATAATCTCCACATTTCAGACATTACAACCACTGGATTGACATCTACAGTTAAGCTTCGGAGTCAAAAATATCTATACGTTTCGTAAAAAACAAATCTCTTATTATTTTTGTACACATATAGACTTCTCATTTTGTTGTCACAATGCTCTATAATACACAGAAAGCTGTTTCAACACTAAATGGTTGCGCTTATCTCAATTGACGATATAACCGTAAAAAAGATAATCCGCACATTCGTTTAAATACACGTGAGCTTTTTGGGCTATTTTACGCTCCCTGATTGAACAGTGCTCTGCTAATATGAAAATTCATATGTTCCTAAAAGGACTGCGCTATCATAATAACATTGAGTACAGGAACAGACCCATAGATAACCTCTGGTGGCTTCTTCGATTTGTCCTATTTAGTCAAGACCATATAAACTGTAGAACATGACCTAGGCATAGAGCGGATTCCCGTTTGGTTTGAAAGGACTATGCCCGGCCGGTTTATATCACTAACGTCAGCTGCCAAATCATTGTTCGCCTTAGATTCATCCAACAAATCATACATTATTTTAATCAGCTTAGCAAATCCTGTGGCTGAACCACGATCAAATAATGGGGAAAATTCATCTGGTGTGAAAGATGCTAGATTTGTAGTAATGGGATAATTTTCAAGTATTCGACTGAAGTATGATGAGGTTGCTTAAATTATCAAGGGTCTGAAAAGGCATACGCTATTTCCGACATTTGCGAGGATTAAGATAATGTAAAAGATTCGTACAGTTAGTAAGCCAGAAAGCACACGTGCAGGATCTTGCCTCTTGAAGGACACGCTTATAGCACAACGAATGTTTGCATGACATACTGTCACGCGCGACCCGTAGGAGCAGAGCCTCTTACCCTGTGTACATGCATTCAAAAAAGCATCTATCGTGCTTCTATTAGTGATGAAAGCAAAGTCTGCCTTACAAATATTACTGAATTTATGCATGTCGAAGATATTGGAAACACATCCCAGGAACCTGGAGGTTGCTTCTGTAGGGTCATCAGTGCACACGAGGTAACTAAAACGGGGGAACATAGAAAAGGGTGAGGACAGAGTAGTCTGCTACAATTATATTATAGACGTTAAGGGTTCGAGAACGTGTTACAGACTGAGTATCTACGGGAGATGGAGACACGCCTACATTTAAGTATAATACTTGATTTATTTATGTTCTGTATATAATTACCATTTCATGAAATCATCAAGCAGAATTTGTTTGCAAAATTCCCCTCGAATTTCAGAGGTCCGTTTGTATCGGCCATAGGGAAGTCGTGGTGCCCAGCACATTTTATGTGTGCGAATGCCACATGTCGCCGGGACCTGATGGACTGCGGTTTTGTTGAGGAACGCAATCAACTGTACTGCGAAACCTGCTTTGAGAACTACATGGCGCCTAGCTGTTCCAAATGTCACCAGCGTATCAAGGGCGTAAGTCGAATGTTTTGGCATGAGTTACAGACGATAGATTTCTAAATAATTCAGTCTCGTCGCAGCTGGTGGTACTGACAAGGGATGAAAGCGTACTAAAACCATACATAATTTCTAGGCTATATAACCTGCGAAGTATAACTAAAACACGCATAAATAAAAACATTTACTAGAAACAAAAGGCCACCAGACATTTCAATGTCCACTGCTATTGCCATTTGATTAAGCATGAGAAGAGAGCTTCGCGCGAGCCGATTCGTAGAAAAGGTTCCACGGTGCATGCACTTTATAATGAAATGATTATGTTTAAACATTGGCTATATTTATCTTAACGTGCATATCGTTTATCACCACCCGGACCCTGTCCCAAAGACGCAATCGACTTTACCGCACTATCTTTTCGTTTCTAGGTAGAGCCGAGATGCTTGCGTACAATCTCGAACAGAGAAAAAAATAATTTCAACATGACGTGCGTGCAGTATGAGACTTGACGGCGTTGAATTAACGTTAACATGACCGTCATCACGGCTTCCGCCAATTTACGTCAACAACAGAGCTTCGTTTAGGTTTACGAGTCTGGAAAGAGTCAACTGAAAACCTGGTGCGACTTTCGTTCTCTATGCGTATCTCGCTGGCTGTTTCGTACGCTTTATGCCGAATTTTGCCCCATTTTCCCTGTCTCTCATCTAAACGAACAGCTGCAAGCTCCATACAGCTGAACTATGGTATCAGCGACGCTTGCTGATGCCAGTAACAACAGCAAGTCAACGGGATTGTTGTTTATCAAAATGGCTGTATCGGGCCATTAGATGTCAGCAGGGACAAGCTCTTTACGAGTATGCGAGACGTCCGAGTACACCGCTTTGCTGCCAGGAAATGCATTTGACTTACGACAGTGAAAGTCATATATGTTTATGATTCAGTCTGTCGACTAAAAGTTGGTACATTTGAAGAGTTAGAAGATATTTTGATATACCCCCAGCTGTGGCAAAGCCGCAATGGAAAACACCATGGAGGTAAACTGTAGGACGGTCAGTGTCATTAAACATTGCCTTACTACTAAACAATTCACTCTTGAAGTAATGAAGACAATTTATCGATCATATATTGGTTTGTTGACGTCATTGTACGTAGTTGAATGTGCCAAATAACGGTAGTCGATGTTAGCTGCGAACTTGGATTCTGTCGGGGCTGTATTTTGTCAAGTATAAGAAGTAAATGTTTTTCTATTGAAAGACAATTCCACGCAGTCTAATGCGCTTGTTAAATCTATGGATCGAAGGCTCGTGACAGCTTCAGAGCTCGACCTTTTAAGCAGCGTAAGGTGACCATAGCGCTGCTCTAGCCGAACTGACGAGATATATCTGCTGTAGTTACATGGATATCCTATCTATTTTAGCTTTTTCTCTAAAAGATACATTACAGATGGTACGAACTCCCGGGCCAAATATGCCTAGACATCTGTCAAAATATTAACTTTTATTATACCTAACACACTATGAAAATGAAACCTCGTTTGTAGAAAAGCGACAGCTGTTAGGGACACTCCTTCACACGAAGTCAACTATCGTTCAATTTGTCTCACTTAATTTTCAAGTATACATATAGTTTTGCAATCGATTGTCCATCCCGGGGGTGGGGGGTGGTGACCGTCTTATATAAATAGAGAACATCCGAAGAATGAAATACAGATTAATGGAGCGCAACATTTACCTTCGAAGCAATTCAGCTAAAAAAATGGGTTACATTTTTAAAAAGTACAATCAGCTTAGCAAGTTACAGAACAAACACACAAATAGATCACTGCGCTTTTTGCGAGATAATAGTCTCGAACAGTAATATATTCTTAAGCGTGTCCCGCCGTTCCGCCCAAGTTCGTTTTCCGATAAATGAATGGCTTTGATAGTAAATTAATAGACGGACGATACGGAACCACCTAAAGATACGATCAAACTTTTGAAGCTTTCAGATAACTCTTGTATTTATATCTGGGTGCCGCAACGCATATATACACAAAGCATCTGTGTCGATACTAGAATAAAATAATATTTTAAATACTTATTCGAGCGCCGCGACAGGACACAAGTCGTCTCTGAGCTCAACTTCATTTGACTTAGTGTTTATACTTCATTTTGAATCAAAAACCTCTGAAATGCATCAGGCATTTAGGCAGACAACGACATTACTATTGCCTCCTCCCTTCAAAAGCGTGTTTGACTGTAGAATAAACGCTTACATCACTTACTCGGCTGTATAGTTGTGTATGTAATGTATAGTTATTTACAGCGGGTCATATCTACCCCTCTAGCCTTTCGTTTGCCTTATGCTATCAATTTGCTGGCTCATCTATACTAAGCGTATGCTCTAGCGAAATACTGGCTCCGACGTTGACGCCGATACCGGTTCTCTGTATCTATGCATGTTTAACATAAGCAACGATAATCTACGGCTACGAAAAAATTCACTGCTCAATCGGCCTAGCTTGCGGCTCTTGGCCGATGCACTGCTAATCGATCCTTTCAGCCCATCGTTGTCGGGTCGTAGTTTCGTCCAGTTGGACGCTCTCGTACAATCGAATTCATACAATCGAATTACCTACTATAATTGCCCATAGCTCATCTGCCTGGGTGACCGGATCCCTGACTGGAGTTTGGCACAGCTTCTGTTTATGAGCTCTATCTTGATGGCGGAGGCGGCAATAGGAGCTCTTCTCAGGTCGCGACAGCCTAGAGAACATAGGAACAAGGTCGTAATGAGCCTCAGTGGGCTTTGGCCATCGTGCTGCCGGTTGTAAAGGAAAAACAAACGAGTCGCATCTTGCTCGTCTAACCACGCTGACCAGGGAGGAAAGAAAGGAATTATTAATTAGCAGGATAAATACTACTGCTAGAATTAGTGTTTGGGCCATTCTGTGGAACAGGCGCGCACCTTAACTAGTCTGTCGATCAGCGCTCATTGAAGACGTCTGCTATATAACCAGTCGAGGCTACGAAAATGAGTACGAGTTTCTGGTTAGACACATTTGCCGCGACAAAGTAGGACTGGAAGACGAACTGAGGTAGCCTTTAAAAGCCGACCTCTTCAGCGCCGCCTTATTTGTCCCTTGGAAACGGACAACTGAAAAAGAGACGGTGTCCTGGTACTGTATCTTTATCTTGCGTAAGGCCCTTGAAACTTTGTCTGAAAGAACGAATACACGACTATCCGTCATGTCAAGGAACAGCTCTCATTCAATTTCAACGATCAACTACAACTATACAATTAGTGCTCAGTTATCAGTTTTTCAATATGATGACATTTGATGGGTTCCTAAATGGCCGATCGGTGGCGGCTTGCACGATTCGCGCTCGTAACTGCTGGAAAGTGGCTCAAACTAAATATACATATTGATATACCCAAGAGTTACGGTGACATTTGACTATCTTTTAACGTTGTTTCTAGTTTTACATGCGATATCGCCGTTAGGCATTCATGACAAAACTCATTACGGTTTCCTCAGACCGCCTTCCCAGGTTCGCCCCCTAGGTTGAAACCAATTTTTTCTCCCGGTTCAGACTTAGTCAAGCGTGATCAATTTTACGCTTTGTGTTCGCCATCGGCATAACGCAGCCGCATTACTTTTCGAGGCCCGCGGCTAACAATACTTCCATCTCTGCGCAACTGACCAGTATGTCGGGCGATACAGAGTGAGAATGTCGACTCTCGTTTAATGGACGCGCAGCAAATAGGTATAAAGACGACTGCCAAGAAAACCGTTATAAAATTACAGTTTTCGGCTAGACAAAAACGCCTAGTTTTGTCTATCCCAACACCAGGATCTTTTGGCACGGAACCGTTTCACCTACGGGCCTACCATTAGCAGCGACAGGATACAGCTGACGATTCGGCCGGATTAATGTCAGCTGGTGCGACGATCCCTAACACGTGCCCACGGCATTATTTTTAACATTACACGGAAACGGGTCAGTCTGAAAGAAAACGAGAGATGGCGTGAAGACCTTTTAACGCTGACGTGTAGTTTGCTCGCGTCCACTTAGCCAAACATCATCTGTCTATAATACTGAATAGCCCTTTCAACGAACATTTGTCTGGGTGGCTGAGTGCATCTGTGTGGAAATGGAGTACTGCCTACAGTACTTCGCAACATTTGTCAGATTTTATATTCAGATCATCATGGGTGTATCGGCAGATGTCGTTACAATTAGACGTATGATTTTCACCGTTCCGTCGCGTAAATTTACAGAATTACAATAACTAGCGAATCTACAAAATGTTCCATGCATTTTCGAGCAGAAAGTTATGTAACTTTAGTGTACAGAGCTCGCAGAAGAACTTGTCGTGAACTCAGGCTTCCATATGCTGTGTCCCTATGTAACTGGACCTGGTTCACACAGAAGGGACCTTTACCGCAAAAAAGTAATAGTAAGCGCACTAAAATTAAGTAACCGCGAGCAATTGGCCAGCGATTTCTTTTGGTTATTGGCTATGAACAAAAGCATGGTCAATGAGCTGAATTAGCGGGATCTATTATAGTTTAGCGTTCGAGCATCGATTACGATGAAGAACTATGTGAGTACAACAAAAAGCACCTAAAGCAACAACCGCTTCATCTTAAATATACTGTACGCATATATTTGTACTATTTTCAATGTCGTCTGCGAACGATTGAGTAGCGCGGTTCATGCCATCAAGCTAGAAGCGAACTACGATATTTGCTGATCCCGGGGAGTTAGCAACTACTTGGACATACCCTGTTTCTTCCTTCTTTATATGGCCAATAGTACGCTGATAATCTCTTCCAAAGTAGCTCATTTCCGTCGAATTTTCAACGTATTTTCGGTTTCTTGCATTTAAATTTAGCTTCACGCTGTTCTATCGCACAGCCTCCAGTCGGATAGCTATGTTGATCGTTGGCCTTAGATGGGGTAGCTGCCCTGCGACAATCACCTTTCGCTTACTGGTTCTCGATAGCGGCATATTTGTGGAGCAGAACGGCACCACAGTGAAGGTGGCATATCAAACGGCAATTGCACCTGCTTGAGCGTTTCGATATGCGTCACTTTACGTGTCCAACGCGAGATTGGTCGTAATAGAGCACCGAATAGGAACAATGCCAGGTATAAGGTATTTGATGCGAAGCTTAAAGTGACTAGAGGATGCCAGCGAATCCAGCCACAAACCAGCAAATGTAGAGGGGTCAGATTGAATCGAATCCGCCGGAAGTTTCCTGTAGTGCCCTTCTCGAAGTGAGAGAAATTGCCGTCGACGTTGTCACTGGGGGCAGCAATGGCAAAAACAAGGCCAGTCAAATTAAGATATAATCTTGTCTTAATACCAACAAAACTGAACGGCTCGTTCATGTCTAATCGTTTGCCAAATATCTACCTGCTAAATTATTCTTTTTTTTTTTCACATAGAAGGGCCTGAACATGGCAGGACAATTGCCAGGTCGAACGGATGCAGCTATTTCCATTTCAGATGCGTAGATGCATTCATAGAAAGGCAATAGTATCTGTGCGTATAGTTTAGAACATTTACTTGGTAAACTTTAACTTCTTATATTTCCAAATTATTTCTCATATGAGAGAATTTGGCAAATATGAATCGATGGCTTTACTGATTGACTAACATTTTTAAGTGCAAGATAGCATTACAGAACGTACCAACGTACCTAAATCCTTTCTTCTTTGCTAGAAATTAAATAAAGTAATCTATTATTAAGCATCGTTAATTAATAAGACCTGTTGTGAGCGCAGTCATGGTGCCAACAGGAAAAGAAGAAACGGCTCTATCGAAATTTTCCTGCTCGAATAATAAAAGTTGTGTTCGTTTTTTTTTCGCTAGGAAAGAGTGTTGCCTATTTGTGATTTATGTCTGTTCTTTTTGCGTCGTTCATTGTTCTGTTATGTATGCATGTTACAGGATTGTCTAAAGGCAATGGATCGTCCATGGCATCCGACTTGTTTCACGTGCAGCTATTGTCGTCGCCCGTTTGGAAATAACTCATTTTACCTTGAGGACGGAAAACCGTACTGCGAGAAGGACTGGAATGATCTGTTCACGTCGAAGTGCTTCGGTTGCGGTTATCCGATAGAGGCGGGGGACCGATGGGTGGAAGCGCTCAACAATAACTACCACTCGACGTGTTTCAAATGCACTGTATGTACCTAACCTGAGCCTTATTTTACCTTGATCGTAGTTGTCCTCAGTTTTTTTTTCCAGCTATCCCAATAAAAATCCCAACCTGTTCAAATTCAAAGCTCCACGCGTAACAGTTCTGCGTTTCTAAATAAATATATATGCTATAATTAACTATACATATTGATGTAGTCTATACAGGCAAACGTCTGGTTATGATGCTAGTTGACAATATAGCTACTGCCATTTCTTCACAAAGCTCTCCCAAAGGTACCGCTTGTAGGTTAACTACCATTTCAAGAATGTTCATCCTGACAGACCCTCCAGCCCCTGATGAAGCCTTCTTTGAAATCGTACTTCTCTCAGTAGCATGTTTCAGTAGCTGTGGCTGAAACAGGCAATCAAAAAACATTCCCACGGGGAAGAATGATAGTAGTAATACTGACTGAGCTATGGGTTGTACGAGAGGCCCCCGGCGGTTCATCTGTGACGAAAGCGCGTCAGCAACGTGGTAATGTGTAAACTGGCTCACGCCGAGTCGTCGCTCCGTCGCAGAAGCGGCGATATCGGTTATTAACGTTAATGAATCATGCTTAGAAATTCAACTGCGGTCGTATCGAAGCTTTTCCCCTTTTGTTCTACCGCGTTTATTTTTACATGACGTATATATTCGGTTTAGCTGTTATTAAAATTATAGTATTCAGATTCGATTGATGAGGTTGAAACACCAGAATTCGTGATCCGGCGAACGGTAGTTATTCTATGTTTTGGCTATTCGTACGAGGCTGGACGACAATGGGCTAAACGATACACTCAAAAAACAAAAAAAATCCTTAAAGAAGTCGAGACGACTCGACGATTTTTACGCAGCATAGACTTATGCATAATTAGCTATGCTGAATATGCAGTAAATTGCTAGTTCAAAACATTCAGTCACTCATTCTGAAACCCGACCTTTCTTTTCTACCCCTTACCTCACCGGCAAACACCTTTGTACAAACCCGGCGTTTCTAGTGGGTTCAGGCATCCGGTGCGACCCATACTGGGTAGAGGAGTTTCAGACCGTTAACCTGTTTCAAAACCTACTCTGTATCAGATATTGGCATCTCGGGTGAGTGTGATTGTACGTTCCCGTGGGGCAAATCATGTATCTTTGTTTTGGCGCAGATGCAAAGTCGGTTTATGCTGCAACTCCGAAGGGAAGCAAATTAAAGTACTGCGATCTAGCCTTTCAGCAAGGATTGAGACGGCATCGAGGATTCTCAGTGTCTAGATAACAAGACCAACCATTTTTATACGAATTTTAGCATTCTGCCGTAATATTGTTTCAATTATTGTTTATAATCGCTCACCGGATAAAAGATACCTTCGCGTAAGCAGAGCGCAATCAATCTAAGCCCTTACTTTTCTCGGCTGAAAAAAAAAGACTAAGAGGCGTTTGCCTAAATTTCTCCCGGTGGTTGGAGATGAAAAGGACTCCCCAATTACGGGCGTCAAAACTGTTTTTTTTTTTTGTTGAGGGCACTTCGGAACAACTTAATGGCAGTATAATATCATGTTATTTGCGTTTGTTGCGAAACTGGCTCAAAGGGCGAGTTTTTTTTTGCCTAAAGTCAGATTAGCTGATTTACTGTTTAACGCACTCCACTTCCTGTCCTATTGTCGTGCCTTCATCGATCGTTCCAGCCACAAATATGGGCAGATTATTAGCAAGGCTTACCTATAAATACACCCAAACACTATAACATGCAGTGTGACTTTTCTAAACAGCCTGTGTCAATGGAATACGAAAAAGCTGATCCGGTGACCTATCTGTCGTCTGCGGTACGTAACTTTTCCTGCAGGTAATATACTCTGCTCCCCGTCGATGTTATTCTTACGTTTCGACTATTACGTTCACTTTCAGGTTTGCCATAACGCTCTTGAGGGTCAGAGCTTCTATGCGAAGGCAGGAAAGCCCTACTGTCGCCTACATGCTCGATAAGCAAACGAGTGATCGTCACGGTTCGCTTCTGGACCACCCGAAACTTACCAAGCCTTTACACGCACCCAAAACTGTAGCTTGGTGGAAATAGACCACATCGGGCCGGATTTTTTTGGATCTTTGCCGATACAAATATACATGCAGACATACACATATACACACACGTGTGTATCAGCACGACTGAAGGAATATAGATGAAAGAAGAAGAATGTTATAAACAAGGAATCAAACGTGGATGCCCAATCGAAAATCAATTCAATTTAACGATACCAACTAACAGTTAACGAAATATGTAAGAAAACGAGTAGTCCAAATAAGAGAGTACATATATCGACCCATAGACGAGCGCGATTCCTCTTTGCTGCTGACAAAGACGATCTTCACTTTTTTAGTCAATCTCTATCTGCTAGACAACTAGCGTTTCATAGCGTGTTGTGCACTTGGTATTAATCGTCATTACTACGACAAATCACTATATATCTATTTCTACTATTAGAGCGTGTGGTGGTTGTTGCGTCATTAGTTGCACGTCAGGACAGGCTCTGTCCAGTGTCGATTGGAATATACGCTTGAAATGGTCTTACGTAAGAAGACCATTTTTTCGAAGTAAAGGCAAGCCATCCTTCTCCATAGAAGAATGCTCACTAGTCATAGTAACAATAATTCAACCTTAGTAATATCTATTCAACCAGCTTCAAGCTTTCGATGCATTTCACTGATGGCAGCCCTAATCAATGTGAAGATAATATGACAAAAAGCATTTCCACAGAAGCCCATCTCGAAATACTAAGATTATACATAGAGATGCTAATGTAAAGTTTACATATGTAGCTGTCGCTAATGTTGTTGCATACAAACCATGGACAGCTTTAATTATCTGTTAGCAATGGCACATTGGGATGTGCAACCATCAATTTAAGCCCATCGTGATACATGATTGTTATGTGTTCCAACTGAGCAAACCCACGCAGCAAAATTCAGTGGGATAATAATTTATTTTACCCAACCTAAAGCGATTTTTTTTAGCTCAACTCTATTACAGCCTTTCGGATTTGTCAGCTATTCAAAAAAAAAAAAAAAAAAAAAAATATCATTGCATTCGTTGATTAAGAAGCCATTTATGCCCAGAAGAGCAACATTATAATTGAGCTCTGTGCTTCTGGACGTTGTTGTTATTGTTACACATATTGACGATTATATTAAGAAGTCACTGATTATAATTTCACTCCTGTTGTGTTATATTTTGATCCTGTTATTATATTAAATATCTTAGATTGATACAACCTGTGACTGATTAAACTCAGGCTTACATATATGCAGCCTGTTTTCCCAGTAACACCGTTCCCTGCAGTCGTATTCAGTGGCTTTTCTTTTTAATCTATCAATTTGTAAATCTCTTCCTAGATATCACCGTCGTCTTACTAGACTAACTGACAGAGCAGCTAGTGCATCATTATGATACCACCAGACTAGCTGCTGCAATACCAAGTAATACAATGTCTGCTAGACAAGTCAGCGAACAAAATGCGTCGACATGGTTTTAGCACGCGCTGAATTTAGACAAACTATGGGTGAGAAACAATAAAAACGAGTATAAACACATATGTTGATCATATGGCTTCAGCATTGTGCGTTGACCGAAATTTAGACAGTATGATATTACCGAAGAGAGGGTGAAAGAAAAGCTGGTAAAAGAAAATAGGCTACGGGGAGTGGAAAACACCAGATGCACTGGCTTTGGGGACCGTGGAATAAGCAAACAGGCCGAGAGACAGATACTCCTGTCCCGCTACAAACCACAAAAAGACCGAAGGACTTATTAAACCAAGTGCCTCTTCTCTCCCCCAGTCGTCCCACTTGCCCTCTCTCTGTCTGTCTGTCTGCCTGCCTGCCTACATTTTCTTTTATTCCTCTTCATCTTTGCTGCTGTCAAGTTCACCTCCACACCGCCCGCTTAGCTTATTTCATTTGCCTAGAGCACCTTGTGTCAATAAGCATACGTTACGTCGAAAGGATAGAAAATTGGGAAAGCTGAAGAAAAGAAAAAAGCTGAAAAGCGGAACCACAGGGAAACGTAGTATATGGGAGTCGTTTATATGCTTTAACATGGACCCTTTCGCTCTAGTGGCGCGACACCGTGGTGCCGTGTAGTTTATGCGACGGCGTCATGCCACTACGGAAAGAGGCGGAATTTCAGTTAATCCCCTCTGAGTCTAAGCCGTTATCGGTCCTAGTGCGCTGAGTCTTCGAAAGAGATTAAAGACCTCTGACACGCTATTTCGGTTGGCGTACAGCCAGCTCCCGTGCAATGCCCCCCTACGATCTGTCCACTAGGAAAACGAGCAGCTCATTGGTTCATTATTGATTTTAGCAGCAACAGAAGAACGTAGCAGGACGCTGGTTGTCGACTTGTCTCAGACGAAATATTTTAACCCAATGTTGACAGCGCTGTGGCGTGCTGCTGCTTTTTTAAGAGTGTTCCATTGACATTTACCGCATCCTTATTTAAATAGAATGATATCGCATGTTAAGTTAATGTACATTGGTCGTCAAGGGCATACCCTGTTGGCTGTCGCTGCAGGTACGTGATCTGAAACCTGCGCAGTTTTTTAAGACGCAAACCGTTACATCTATTTTTGAGTGGAACAACGATGATAAAGACTGCCATTATGAATTAGAGAAAAATAAAGGAGGTAGACCAGCACGACCAGATAAACTCTTTGCTTCTTTTGTTGCGTGAGATCATTTTCGTGTAGGGTTGGAGAACCCTTCAAAGGTCCCGACCTGGGGGGCGCCATTCTGTTGAACAGAACAGCGAAGCCGACGTCGATTTGGCGATACCATGGTGACACTAAACGCGAACATCCACGAGATTCGACGAGTATACGCGCTTTCGCCAGCCTCTAAAATCATGCCGTCTGGGTCGCGCCCTTTGGCAATCAGGCCAACAGATACATTTTAACAAATTCGGACACATTACAATACTAGTAGATACCGATAGAACTATCGTTGCTACATATTCAAACGGCATCCCAAGCGACACTTAATTGCTGCTATGAGTGCGCGGCAGATGCTGGCAATATACTGGATTTAGAGAAACTGGACAGTAGTTTTAATATAATAAAATTTTTAGTGAAATACCAAAATTGAATGATTGAAACGTCTTTATTAAATGGTCACGGCCAGCATATGGCTAGAACAAACAGCATGGTTAGAATAAGTTTTCGTTTATGGTTAGCTTAGAGGTAGGCGTTAGTTTGGAGTTTTTGCACAAATATCTAGCCAACTGCTACGGATATTCCTTGAAGTATTATTGTAGGTATGCAAGGGGACCGCTTTGATCAGTATAGAGGCGGGCTCTAACAGAAGCTTACGATAGTTTCATGAGAACTGCTATATCTGCTTGATCAAAAATGCTGCATCACTGCGGGAGTAGTCCACTCAGATACATATTGCAAATTAATTTTTGCAATGTGAATTTCAATAAAGGCTGGGCTTTCATATCATCGACTGAGCCAACAAACGGTAAGCCTACTATGTGTGGAGAGCTGTTTAGATTCAAAAATCAAGCCTTAAGGCTTAGCACTTCCTTTGCAGGCCAAAGGTCTTAGCATTTCTGTCGGATCTGCTGAAAGATAATGATGTGCCGTAGAAGTCAATCATCCGCGTTTGGGTTGCTGTCACGTGAGAAAAAGAACAGCGTGACAGCTACTAGACCAAAAATGCGTAACCTTTAAATACGTTTCGAAAAGAAAAAATACATAATCCTTGATTCCAGATACCATCGGCCGGTACAGTCTTGTGTCAGTCCAAAAATTCATTTTTTCTTTGAAGCTATATATACGAATCACTGAACTTATTATCAATTATGTTTTGGAAGTTTTGTGTTATAACTTTAGTAAATAATTAATTCTATTCTCTCTAGTTGTTTTGTTCTTGGTGCGTTTGTGCGATTATAACAAACACTGTAAAAAGGACACTGAAGGTTAGGATGCAGGACAAAAAGCCCATACCCACAAGTCCATCCCGAACAATGCCTGAGCGAACGGCACTTGTTTAACAGAAGCTCGACCAAAATCTATTTACACACTCGATCTGTTAAGGGGCAATGTGAAGAAGACTTCTTTTAGAATTGTGCGTCTCCGTGTGGTATTATGTTAAGAACAGAAAAAGGTGACGTGCAAAGTTTTTGCGCAGGTCCTTTTCTTTGTAGGTTGCAGGACCGCACGCAGTATGTATTTGCCTTTGAGAGGGTTTAGTGTCACCGGTGGTGGTGAAGGGAAATAATTATTATGAATCGACGGCACAGAAACGAATCCTAGATATATATTTGTTGCTCAAACTGTGTGTGCTAAGAAGGATCTGTAAAAAATGGCATCTATAATATTTACCAGAGCGACAGGTGACTCCGACATATTTTCCCAAGGTAGATAATAGTAGAATTAGGTGGCATATATTTGCGATGTATGGTCTTTGGTCTATGTTGTAAGAGAACTGTTGAACGAGCTACTATCTTTAGAATTGAACAAGCAGTATTAGAGGGTTACGATCAGATAAAATAATAGTATGTCTGTTTGTAGTTCCTCAAGTTAATTTTTCTTATACCCGCTGAATTCACAAGCTCTAGTGGAATACGTTTTTTCCGTTTCTTTCAAATCTAGCACGTTTAGAAGACTACTTTCAGTTTTAAGACCATGCCGCCAACTCTTTGTCTCTGCATGTTTCCATGGCCTTTTACCTTAGAAAAATGCTGTGTTCAAGGCGCTTTTTTATACCTGGCATCCTTACATTTTGGACCTAGATTTTGAACAACATTTTGTAATCTGAGAAATGTGTGAACGAAGCACATAAAAGGCTTAAATACTGTTACAGAGAGCCTTTCGGCAGTATATGACGCTTAATAAAGAGCATCGCTACTATTATTTATATTATATAAAAACAAAGCTAATATTATTTTATAATGGGAAAAGGGCTAATGGGAATCATACTGCTACTACTACGTATAGCGGTGACTTTTCTAAGTGAATTACGTGTAGATGTGCGGATCAATTTGGCAAAATTAGAACCTTTTTGATGTTCATTTGTTTAAACCGTATTATTATTATTATTATATTAGATAAATACCACGTTCGTATGAGCTATATAACATTAATGTTTCTTAACATACATGGGGTGAGAAACATTTCATTTGGAAACGAAACATTGGGTTATTGACAACGTATGACCACTTTTTAAGCTAGATGGCCTTGAAATCATATATTGCAGGCAAGATAAGTTGCGTTGGGTCAGCGTTTGTGCTCTCTGAAAACGAAGATTTGGGGTGATAGTTGGGGTGCTAATATTGTTAGAATTCCTCTATTCAAATTCAAGATCGAGCGCCTTAAGTACGGCTGAAATGTCCGCAAAAAAAATCGCTATACAATTTTATTGCAGTAGAGGCACAAATGCTATCGAGGTCCATGAAAAACGTCTGTTATTTATGATCGAAATAGGTTATCAGAATAGTTACTTTTGTTTTGGAAATTTCGACATGAAAAATACTCCTTGTAGTAATCCACCAGTTAAGAAAAAAATTGCTGAAATTCCTGTGGAAGTTGAGCACAACTATCTAGGAGTAGCGATGAGGAACTAAATATTCATCCATATCCAAGAGTTTTAAACCATTTGAAGAAAGCTCAGTGTCTCAAAAAAAAAAAGCTCGATGTCTGAGTACTGCAGGAATTGATCGGAAAAAACTTTACCCGTTCATATTTTCATTGGTGAAACTTTGCTCTCTAAAAAAACCTCTCACCTTCCATCTACTCAGAGGACTCAGATGCTGGTTAGAATGACTTTTACGTTTCAGTTTCAAAGACAATTTGTTCTTTTTCCTGCCTCCTGCGCTCTTGCACAAAGCCAAATTTTAGTACACGATTAGTGAATACCCTGCACTAATGCCCATAATGTAGCCGTAGGTGTTATGTTAAACAAAAGATTAAACATGGATCTGACAGCATAGCGTTGTTTGAAAGATGTCGTTTACAGCAGAACCTTTAAGGGCCATGCCGTGGAAGAATTATGGAAATTTACAGGGAACCGCACTTTTCCTTCCCCTTGTTCCTGTGTGAGCGAAGCCACGCTCAGTTTGTTCACTTTGGTCGAAACCACTGACTCTGGTATTTAAACACTCAACGGAACAACGTTTACACATCGAGTGGCGAAGTCCCTGGTTTCCATTGTTACGGATCGTTTCCCACTACATAATGCCATTCTGCTAACATCATTGCCTATCCAGTGGGCTTGAGGGACAAATACTGGGGTGCAGGAAATGAAGGCGGGCACTGAATGGCAATGCAATACCGCTATCTAAAACCAGTTAGGAGTGCACGCCCAACTTAGTCTGACTTAAGTACCGAGCCTCCGCAGGAGTTCCACCACTGTTGCCCACCGCGACTACCTTCACAGGTTAACGAGCCTGCAAAATTGTCGTAGAAGATGTGCATCCTGATGCGGCACACTTAACCTGATTATTGCTAAATATACATACACATTCCCATTGCGCGGTATATGAGAAAGGCGATCGTTAGTAAACTATGGACTGAAGTAGCAATGTACGAATCTCGTTCATACATTCGGTGGGTCACTCAAGTACCTATTCTCACAGTTCGAGGCAAACTAGCAGAATGCATTATAGTTATTTACGGGATCTCTGATTGATTTAGGTAAAGTAATATAGTTTATAGTTATGTACATATTTTGCATTACATAAATTAGGAGCAAAATTCGGAAGCAGTCTACGCGGGCAAAGTCAGCGAATGTTCACTAAATGTCAACGAAACTTTGTTAAGAAATATTAAGTGTACTATTGCATAATACCTGTATCACAGGTTTACCATACTGAATTGGCGGTGAACGAACTTACAACAGGTTAGGCTAACTGTACATCCGAGGTTGTAAGGCCAAAGGGGACTACGAGCAGCTCTACAGGTCCTTACTGGCCGATGCGACCATTAACAGTTCCTATTGGAAGTTGATACAACGTCCAGTGATTACTGCCAATGGCGCATTTATAGCCGAAGCTACACCTATACGGTTGTCTCTCTGTTTTATTGGCGAATGATTTAAGGTCGAAATGTATTCCTTTCAGGGTAGCCGTGGTTTCAGTATATTGCATTACGTTATTGACTGTTCGTGGTTGTTATCGGCAGCTATAAAAAATATCACTTTCTATATCCATTGGTTAGCTAGAATTAGAAATCATCGCAACCTCGCCTGTGGAACACGAATGGAGGCCTAAGTGTACGTGTCCTGATAGGAAACATGAACAAAACTGCTTGAATAGTTTTTTTTCTACGATTAAATTTGTTTAATAGCACAAACATGTATTATTAGTAAATGTGTTAGTTAGTGTTTCCTAAAGATTGTTGATGGAAAGCCCCCCGTTACGGAACTTCTTTCAAATGAACAGAATCAGACACAAAAGCATCTATTATATCATAAAGCAATTATATCATACGTCCATGTATGATATAACTGTCTTGTATTTTATATTGACGAGTATTGTGAGCTATAGTTGATAAATAGCTGAATAAAACCCGCCGACTAAGTACTGCAAACCACCCGCATGGCTTTCGTTATCAGAGGACCAGTCGGACGTGCTGTTTTATTTAATTTTCCTTTCTTATTATTTGATTATAATACCTTTTTCAGCGGCTATAGGAGTGACAAGGGGTGTCCCATAACAATCAGCTACGATTCAAGTTGACCTGTCGTCGTTGGCCTCCGTGACATAGGCAAAGAGGCATGCTGAGAGCGTGGTCTGCTTTGTAACTCAGAAAAACGGCCTGTTTTGTCAAACGGAGCTACACTCTAGTATATATCATTTGATCTCGCCAATCGCACTAGCTGTGGCTTCTTTCGCTGACTGGACGATTACCACTTAGATATTAGCCATGTTTCGCATGGGCTCGCTTATCACTGGGCGTGTTGACGGCGTCCATTGCGCCCCGAAAAAAAAATGCCTATGTCACTACCTGACAAGCTGGTAGTCGTAGCTTAATTCGTGGTTATCGTTGCAATTAGAGCACGTGACATCCGCCAGCAACTGTATTCTTATGCCGAACACCATAGTCGCTCGAAGACGATTCTCATGTCTGTGATACAAAGCTTTTC